GCTTCTTCTGTACGAGCACATCTATACTGCTTGAACTTTCGTGCAGGGATCTTCTCCTCGAACATCTCGTCAATCTCCTCCAAGGTGCGGTCCTTGGTCTCTGGCACGAAGAAAAAGACAAAGACAAGGATCAGGGCGTTGGAAACAGTCCAAATATACCCGTACTTTCCACCCTGTCACGAGGTTAGCTTGGTGTACCGAGATGTCAGATACGCAACTTGCCCAGTTAAGCTCCAGAGGATTTAAGAAGTATGGAGCAGTGTAGCTAGCTACCCAGTTCCACAAGAATGAAACACCGATAGATAATCCGAGAGTGTAGCCTCGCAGCCGCTGCGTCGGAATCTCTCCGGCACAGAGATAGACGTAAGGTGCAATACACATGTTGTAGAAGAAGAGATAGATGATGGTAAAAGCAACCAGTACTCTACCTCCAACCACACTGGTCGACCTGTACTGGCACACTGTCGCAACAATCAACATCGCAGCGGACTGAGCCGCGAAGCCGATCATCAAGATAGTCCGTCGTCCGATTCTGGTGATGAGCCACATCGAGAAAAGTGTTGCAGCCAAACCAGCTGCAGTCATGCCAACACTCTCAGCAAAAGCATTAGTTTGGCCTGCGATTGCAAAGAAATAAGTGCCATAAACCAAGATGAACACGGCACCTGATCCGGTGAGAGTTGTCATGATCGCCACCGAGAGCAGTGTACGTCGAAGGTTTGTTTTTGAGAAGAGGTCAAATACAGCAACTCCTTTTGTCATGGCGCTTTCTTTTTCGAATGCGACCGTTATCTCTTGTAGTTCTGCCTCAAGGAGCTGTGGTGACGTATCCTGATGCCGGAGTCTGCGTAAAGCTTTCCTGGCTTGCTCGGGCTTATTGTGCTCGATGAGCCATCTTGGTGTCTCGGGCATGAATGGTAAAGCGATTGTGAGAAGTACAGGGCAGATGAAAAATACACCCAGTGGAATTCGATAAGCGTTCTTGCTCATTATGGTAGAGGTGTAGTTGTCCACAATCGAGCCGATTAGTAAGCCCACGCTGACAAGGACGTTGAAAGCTCCCAGAAGTGATCCTCGCTGAGCACCAGGAGCACATTCATGAATGTAAAGTTGCGGCAAAACGTCGAGAATACCAACTGATACTCCTATAATGATTCGTCCTGCATATATTGTTGCAAGATCTGTGGCAACCATCATGAGAATGACACCGAGGTGGTTGAAGCAACAACCGACGAATATCATCCACCTTCGATTCAAGACCTTTCCCAAGGGTCCGATTGCTAAACAAGACACAATGGCACCGACCAACATCAATGAGCTGATAAGTTGCTGTACAGTTGGGTCGATTCCCCAGCCTAGAACTGCGGTCTTGTCTGGAAAACCGAACACCATGAGAAATCCGGGCATCGCCTGGAAACCAGCGATAGCTCCAAGATCCAATCCTGATCAACGTCTCAGCAATCGAACACCTCGTTGGAAACTGGTTAGTACTCACCAAGTTGAAATGCGCCTAGACATGCCACTCCGCAATACAGGAATGCACGATAGTGGTGGAAGAACCCTTCCTTGGAGGGTGATTGCTCGGTTGTCAGTACCTCTGCCATTTTCCCTTTTCTTAAGTTTATACTAAGAATAGAACTGAGTTGAAATGAAGATAGGCGAGATCAATAAGATCGAGTGGGACAGCAGGTCACTATAAGAAGACAAGGAGCTGTCGATTCTTCTTTGGATCAGAAAGGCTATAATTTGGGGTAAGGGATGTTTGCTGGGTTCTCAATCCCTTCCACTTGGTGGACTTTGACAACAAGGCTTGAACTGGAGATAGAAATATGCCCAGCAAAAAAGTATCAATCTCAGAGGAAAGGAAATCGAGAATCGTGTTCGAAATCCAGACCTCAAACAGGTCGATTGGTCGAACCAGCCTAGTCTCACTTTGCGCTGCTATCGTTCCCCGTGGGAGTCAAAGTTCAAGACGCGGGGGGCGGGGGAGTTCCGTCAGTGGTGGACTTGCCAATAGCAAGCCGAGAAAGTGGCAACGTCCACAAGAGATTGAGTGCAAGTTGTTGGCTTCTGGAGAGACGAAACTGTGGGAGAACGACACACGACGACGTGGTGTGGGAGACATGTGGAATTTCGGGTCAGGCCCGACACAGGTCGAGGGGGACCTAGCCGATTTCCACAATTCTCGGGTACGGACTCCGGAGCAATGAGAGGAAAACCGGACTAGACTGGTTCGAAACCCCACCAGAACTTGATCTTGGCCTCCGCCAAATGATTTTCCACAGTCCTAGCTTTTCCACATGGATAATCCGGAGAAGAGACTGCAAGTCATCTATGGTCAGTACAGTGGTCCACGCTCCACGGTCCTTTGTGACATCCTGCCTTGTCCGAATCTGTATCAGCCATCAGCGTTGACGAGCATTCTCTATCAGTCACTGGTTGAGCTGGCCCACCTAAGACGAGAATGGCAATTCCAAAAGAGAATGTGCGATGTACGCAATTGAGGGACTCAAAATAGTCATCAGTGTGCTCTCATGAGGTGTTTTATGCCTAGCAGCAGTACCGAAAGTTTTGAAGTAGCAGTGGCAACATATGATCACCCTAGAATTACGAAAGTGCACGAGTCGGATGATGCTCCACACAACGGCGTGGATACTGTTCTGGCTGTCTGAACTTGGGGAAGCGAGACATTGACGACGAAGAGAGGGGCAAATCCCAAAGCTCCAGCAGAGTGTACGTCTGGTATTTTGTCGAGCACAAAGCACACTGTGTCAAGGTGATGAGATTTCGATGGATCGCCTGAACCTGCTCCCCCCATGCCATTACCCTTCGATGCCACTCCACCATATTTCCACTTCGCAGCTACACCACCTATCTAGTTTTTCTTCTGTTCGGTCAATCCCAAAATTCGATACAGGCAAACATCCTGTTATGTAGGTGGCTGCCAGAAGCTCCATACATACTCTGCAAAGATTCAGAAACCAGAGTGTCGTGTCCCCAACTCTTGAACATCTAGAGTGTAAGGACGAGGGGCCGACAGTTTAGACATCAGATCATAATTGAAGAAGTCTCGCCGGCATGTGAGGCGCGAACATTTACCGATGCAGTATTATTGAGCAAGGTCTCATTCGAATGGGTCGCCGTTGCATCCCAAGGGTACACCAAAATCATGAATGCGAGTAGGTCACGGTAAGTGCAGGTAGACTCTCGATCAGCACCAAGATTTTATAGAACCTGAGAAGCTTTTGTTTCATATGGATCATAATATCAACAAACTTTGTTGTGGGCCAAGGCTGCCTGCATCACGCGTTATCAACCAAGATAAGACTTAACATTTGATCCATGGAAAAGGCATCATTCTGACGCGTGACTCATTCACTATTATTGTGGGAGGAATCTTTGTGATGTTATTCAGCCTTCCAATATAAATACATACAACAGCCCAGACTCGATTTTCGAAAAGCGGTTCTTGGTTGCTGAACAAGATCGCTTTATTTCCTCACGATAGCTTTCTTCGGTACAAGAATAAGTCGTAACGATGCCGAAAGAACCTTCAAACGAGAGTAGGGCGCCCACGCTATCACAGCGCATTCAACGTTCACTTCGCGTGGAAGACTTGCTTGGTACGAGCCCTGAAGTGACCCTGCAACGAACATTGTCCACTGGAACGGCTGTTTCGACGGCGTCGAGTTTTGGCCCGCGAACGGAGTTGGCTCGCTTCCCCCCCTCAGGCACACACGTCACCTTCCGGGATATTGGACGAGGAAGCTGTGGCAGTATTTTCGAGATTCCAGGAACATCATACGCAATCAAAAGAGGCTCTGATGTTTCGTCGATCTGGAACGACTTTAACCTCACAAACTTGGCGTATAATTCCCACATCAAATGTTTGTTCCTTTTCCAAGCCGACTTTCCCAACCGCGAAGTTCCACGCTCTCCTCTTGCACGATTCTTCAACAGTCCGGAATCCCCATGGTGGGAAACAATGATCTCATTATTTCCGGAGGGAGATCGTACCAAGGCCGCCGCTTTTCATCTCGACCGAATTTTGCCTATCACCAAAGAGATGAGAGAGGCTATTGTACAGACGTACTTTAGTCCGGACCAGTCCACACAGCAACAAGTGTTGGGCAATATCAACAATAAGGATTGTCTCGTTCGTCTATACTTTGGTCAGAACGCACCCGCCTCTGAGTTATACGATAGCTCCGACACCCTACGAAACTTTCCACTCTACCTTGACCGAGCCCAACAACTCAAGCTTGATATGGACAGGCTTGCAGAAGAAATGGCCCTTGGGCTAGCAATTTTACACTGGGAGGCTCAAATTGACACACAAGACGTTGAGTTTGTGATCGGGACGTCAACAACTCCGGTACTTAGTAGTTACCACCCTGACAACCGGCGAATGCCTCCTCCAGTCTCGACTGTTGATGATTTTAGTCAAAGAGAGATCCAAATGTGGATGCTAGACTTCGATAAGGCTACACAAGTCGAATTGAATGAGGGAGGTATTGTTCAGAAGTATTTTGTGGCTGTGACGGGGAACGACCCCTATTTTCCGCATCCGCGATTGGACACTGGGTTGTGGGAAACCTTTCGTCGAGCATATTTAAGAGGTAGTCAAATCATTCTGAAGACAAAGAGAGTCGACAAATATGTGCTTGGACTGCCCAGCAAATTGATTCAACGTTGGGAGGAATGGGGGGATATAAGTATGGAAGATGATGAAGACGACCCTTTTGAAAGGAATGCGGACGAGGAGGACGATGACGAAGAAGACGAGGATGAGGATGAGCTTTCTGATGATACATCCGATGATGATTGATCGAGAAGTTGTGTTTCAAATATTCATAATTCGAGTACTGCTATGGTGTCATTCAGACCCTGCTGCCATTTCTCACCGAGAACAATCAAGTGCTTTTGCAAATTGTTCAAGACAATAGGGTCTAAGATGTCGGCAGCAGAACAAGGTCTATGAGCAAGCGGGTCTTTCAATTTCAGACGAGCTCACTCCATTGGCTGCCACCTCTGGCACCAATTTCCTCGAAAGAATAGGTCTTGATATCGGAAGGACCCTCACTTTCCAAAATGTAGCCCTTTTCACACCTTGAAAAACTCACCTTCGCCTGCTGCACCTCATAAAAATTGTCAAAGCGTGCATCGAGTGCGTGGTACATATCTTGGACATCCCCCGATGGATGCAGGACTTCCCACGGATGCGTACATGCACGTGCCTTGCATGTCTTTAGCACCAGTACTAGCGCATCCAGCCGTGATAATAGACTGGACAGCTTCACCGGTCCTTTGTTGGCATTCCCCGCCGAGTCAAAGTGATATGGTCGCGAATGGTTCGTGGTGTACAGGTTGTTTAGCTCATGAGGGTCATCCTGTTGGCTTTGTTAGTATCGACAAATTGGTTTCGACAGAACGGTTAGTGCGCAAGGTTTCATACGTTGAGATCATAAAGCTCGTGCTCGCCACTGCACCAGACAGCGTAATAAAAGTTGTATCCTTCCCCAATCAATCTCAACCCTTTATACGTGTTGTTCCAAAACATCGATCGCCCGTAGTTGCCCTCGGCCAGGGCGAACCCCCAGTATTCCACGTTGACGTGTTCATGTCTGGAATATCTAGCTTCGTCCAACGCCCGTTCCGTGAGCGGAATGGCGGCACCATCAAAGTCGGTACGGGATCCGGCTCCAGCTAAGGACAGGAAGGTCGGTGCTAAATCAGTGTGGGACGTCACGACGCCGCTGATTTTTCCTTTCGGCACGTTTGGTCCCCGAACGATCAGTGGAACGTTGATATCCTCTTCGAATCCGCATTCTTTTCCCGGTTGAAGCCTGTGCTGTCCGATATGATAGCCGTTGTCGCTTGAGTAGAAAATGTACGTATCGTCAAGGATGCCATGCTCTGATAGTCGGGTGATGACTCCATCGATAATATCGTCAACAGCCTGTAGTGCACGTAGCCTATTGCGATAGAAGTCGTCGTTGAAGTCTATATTTTCTTGATTCTGTCTGGGCAAATGTGAGATCCATGACACCCCGCTTTCCTAGGTGACTGTTAGTGCCAAAACAGTGACATTGCTGGGCAGAGTCATATGGGTCAACGAACTTTGTCAGGATTGAAGTTGAGAGTCCGTGGAACTCTGGTGTCATTGAATAGATGTTTGTGTCGATCAGCCGGGACTGGAGGGGAGGTAAGAATTGAGTGCTCGTTTATGCGTTCTCCCACCGAGGACTCTATGATTTTGAGATTACTATGCGGAGCAATGGGTGCTATGGTCAAAAAAAATGGCTTGCGCGCTGCAACGGCATCATCAAGGAAACCATAAGCTTTATTCGCTATGACGTCTGTAGAATATTCTCCGTCATGGCTGACCGGAGGCTCTCGATCTCTTTGGGTTGTGGCGTTTAGGTACTCGTAAGTGTGAGGATCAAGAAGGAAATCAGAGCCAGTGAACCCAGCTGGGAAAGGAGAGTCATAGTTGCTGACTGTGTGAGCATTGAACAATTTTCCCGTATAATAGGTGTTATAACCGGCCTCCTGCAGCCAAACAGGCACCCAGGCTTCGTTGAATCCCTGACTGATGAATTTGGGATATCCACCTTTGAGATGATCAGCATGCTTCTAGGAGACAGAGCAAATCCAAGCAAGATGTACAAAGACTCACCATACGGTGGGTTCACATCTGTGACATTGGTGTTGTGAGCAGCCTTTCCAGTCCACAAATTGACCCGCGAAGGGCAGCACAATGCGACCGTGCAATAATGTCGCTCAAAGACCGTACCATGCCGAATTAAGTGTCGTTGAAGATTGGGCAAGTATGCCAAGGAGTCTAATCGTACATCCTGATCATCTGTTAAGATAAAAACAATGTTGGGCTTAGTATTTGATCTGCCCATGCCCTGAAGCTTTAGCTGTGCATCGGAAGCCGAAGTTGCGAGACATCCGAGGCCATAACAGATGGTAGCGATGAGAGAAGCTTGCAACATCTTGAATGTGAAGGCCCGGCATGCAGGGGCATGTACCAAAGAGCTTGCTTATTTGATTCCTGTAGCAGAGAGATATCGCCTTATGTACCCTAAATCTACCGAGGGTTCAACCAGATTCTGGTGGCTGGCCGAATTATAACCACCTGTCACCCGGATGGAGTTAGCGTTGACTTTACGGGTTCTTCATAATCACGTAATCCCCCAAACAGTTGGCATCATCAAGACATCTATTATCTCCCGCCAATGAAGTGCAGCCGAGCCAAAATGACGAGCTTGACGAACCTCATGGACGAAAATTTGTAATGTACGGAGGATTGTGCAAAGATCGTGACATCCGTCTGCTTGGAGGTTGGATGCAAGACAGAGGAGAGAATGTCGGCCGTGAAACTACCCAACGAAAGGAGCCGCTTGCTTCGGTCGGATACTGAATCACTACCTGAGGAATCCTCGGTGGTTGACCATGAATCAGTATACGACGAGGAATACCATAGTCAGTCGATCCGTCGACTCTCTTCCGCAAATCTTCCACCTTATCACGAAGACTATCCTGCCACGGAAGAGCCGTCGTCGACGATTGCAATTTGGACCGTGGTTCCTGTGTCTCTCCTTGGTGAGTAAAACCTCCATCTCGTCCTCCGTATGAATGCGTACTCATTTTGAAGGCGTTTTTGTCGCAAATGCCGATGGGTCGCTCGTCGTCGCTTCAAGTCAGTACATCTCTTCGGAATTTGACCAACTCAACAAAGCATCATGGTTGATCATGAGTTTCGCATTGGGCGTCTGTGCGAGTCAACCGCTCGTAAGTAGTCTTTCCATCCAGGAGCCACCGGTGGCTAATTTCTGTCTGCTATCAGTATGGTAAATTAAGCGATATCTTCGGTCGCAAGGTAAACTTGGTCGCCGCGTATATTTTCTTTACAGCGGGATGCTTTCTCTGGTATGCTCCGGCGGCACCCTACGGTCCTGGCATGCTGAAAAGTAATCTGACACCGCTGAACTTATACAGTGGCATTGGAAAAAAGTATTGGCATGTGCTCGCGGGCCGAGCCATATCGGGAGTTGGGGGAGCAGGAATGACAGCACTCGTGTCTGTCATCATAGCGGGTAAGAAGCAAGATACTGAGCTGTGTCCCCATGCATTTCACTTATAAGGCCAGATATGGTTCCTGTCCGCGATGTCGCTACATGGAGAAGCTATGTCAACGTTGCTGCCACTTCGGGTCGCTCTCTGGGCGGCCCTGTCGGTGGATGGCTCACTGAGACTGTCGGCTGGAGATGGTCCTTCTATGGACAATGTCCACTCACCCTTATCGGACTACTTCTTATTCTATGGAAACTTCCCCATAAGACTAACCAAACTGGAAATCAAGTCAGCCAGTCTTTCTCCCAGAAATTTGGAAGAGTTGACGGATTTGGCGCCATCACATTGGCCGGCTCTATCTGCTCATTCCTACTCCTACTACAGACAAGCACAAACGGAGCGTCGTGGCAGTACCAACTGGCATCAGGATTGTCCTTCGTAGTGCTCTCAGCCGGTTTTATTGCGATCGAATACTCCCTTGTCGCCGAACCAATCCTGCCATTGGGGTTGCTGGCGAAAAGAGCAGTCCTCACATCATACTTGGTGGCTGGAGCTCAAATTGCAGCACAATTTTCAATGTTCTACCTCGTACCAATATATTTTCAGCTTGCCGGACTCTCTGTCTCTGCTGCAGGGTTGCGACTTGTACCGGCCGTGGTCGGTAACGCAGTAGGTGGTTTGATCTCTGGTTATGTCATCCAAGCAACTGGCCGCTACAAAGGCCTGACCGTTTCCGCAAGTACAGCAGCATCAGTTGGCTATCTATTGATTCTGCTTCGATGGCATGGCACGACCCACTGGGTTGAATTGAGTTATTTTCTCCTTGGTGGGTTTGGCTCTGGCGTTCTTCAGTCGACCAGCTTCGTCCATCTGGCGGCGAGCCTGGACCAATCTGAGATCGCTATTGCTGGAACTTGTTTGTATCTGACGCAGAACATCTTCATGCTGGTGGGTATCCAAGGGGCTACCGCTGTTCTGCAGCCACACCTCAAAGCGAGCCTTGAACGGGACCTGAGTGGAGTGGAAAATAAAGCTCAGGTAGGATTACGCTAATGCCGGACCTTATCCACGTTGTATCATATGCTAATAGTAGAATAGATAATCACGAAAGTTACCTCCAATATCGAACTCATCTGGCAGTTTCCCGATTATATCAAAAAGACGGTCCTCCGGGACTATTTCGATAGCTTGACGGCAGCATATGGCAAGAATAATCAACGTCTGCTAGATTTATTAACGCTAATTCGGAATAGGTATCTCGTTGGGGTTTGCAGTGGTGGGATTGATGCTAGGGTTCACTATCAGAGCCCGCAAGATATAAGTTCGGGTCTGCCAAACTAAACATCCACTCTGACTCCAGAGAACCTTTGTGATCTTCAATTTCAGCTCACAGCATTATTTGCTCTTACATAGGTGGTCGTACGGTGGTATAGTCAATCGGGAAGACGAACAGCTAATGCTCAGAAATTTCCATTTGGGGTGAGTGTAGTAGCCAGGCATGAAGGGTGGCTTTACAATAGTGGGATGTCAGTCTATATGTCTGATACCTGCATATCAACCAGGTCGTATTCTTTTGGAGTTCGCCTCCCAACATCATGCTGGAGTGGCCGTCTCGTGACTGCGCTAGGCCACGGCATGAAGTGCCTCGCGACGCGAGACCGAATTGGGATCAAAGTAAGGCTTCTCTCCCAACGACACAACGCGATTCCCCTGGCGTTTGCCGGTATAATCGTTCGTTGCCGTGTGGAAAACGGAGCGGTTGTCCCAGATCGCCAGGTCATTCTCGTTCCATCGGAAGCGTACCTGCAAATCATGATTCTCAGTTATCAACTGCAAGAAGTACTCCTTCAGAATCTCGCTTTCTCTAGGTGTGACATTATCAATCCAACCAGCCGCAATTTGATGACCCGCTCCGAAAAGACTCTTCCAACCTGTGACTGGATTGGTGCGGACTACAGGACTGAATGAAGGTCAGATTAGCTTCAAGCCACCGTTCCAGAGACTGCAGGATATCCTAATTCTTACTGTGAAGCAGTGAAGTCAAGCCCAGTATTTTCCGGAGCTCCACGGTCTTGGTCAATAAGTTCTTCTCCAAACTTCTTCGCGACTTCGTTGAAGGCTGGCTGATGATGGGTAGCAGTCAAGGAATCAGCAAGCTTTTGGAAGGCCGGCGATAGCCGGTCATACAGTTCATAGCCTGAGGCCCATAAGGTGTCACCACCGGCATCCTCAGGCTTGTTGATGATCTTGAGGATCGCATAGTCTGAGGGGATCCGTTCGAATGTGATACTGTTCCTCTGTGTGAGCATGTGTTGGCAATACAATTCTGTCGAGAGACCTACTCGGCGTGCCATCCTTCACTGGCTAGTTTCTTGGACTCTGCCGAGAACCGATCCTTGTAGAACTTACGGTTTTGCTGCATTCCAGGTTAGCACAAAAGAGTGATGAGATTGGACGGACTCCCGAGAACCACATACCTCCGAGGAGATGACAGAGACTTCATCATCGAGCTTCCCATTTTCATCAACTGCAATGCCTCGTTTGCTGTTTGAAAGCGCGTGACGATGAAGCTGACTCACTTGTTAGCAACATCAGGTCTAATAGTTGCTATTGTAACATACCTTTGATGTTGCAGGCTTTCCAGTAAGCTCTCCCAGCTTTTGACCAAGTATCTTTTGATCGTCGATATTAAGGTCCTGGTTGCGGAAGAAGACTACGCCTCGCTGAGAGACTGGGACCGGTCACCATTTAAATTCGTACGCAAGGTAGAATACACGAACCAGTTATGGCCAAGTCGCGGATCTTGTTGTCATCATGTAAGATCTCGCTGAGTTGGAGCTCTGGGTACTCCCTGCCGATGATATTGGTGACCTCAAAAGACTTGTATGCGTCAAGAGAGCCAGAATAATTCAAGGAATTTAGACTTGGACTTGCTCCCTTGTCGACGGGGACGGGAAGAGTGCCAGGCTGGCTTGAGATAAGATCAATATCCGCAGCTGGAGGCGCCATATTTCTTGAGAAGGATTATCGAGATGGAAGAGATCGTGCTTCGCGGGACACTTACGGCTTCAACTGCGTATATGAAGGTTCAGAGTCCCATGTTGCGTCTCGATCGACAACTGTCTTATAGACCGTTTTGTGATCAGTCACTGCGTGATACCAGTCATGCCGTTGTTCCGAGTTGTCAAGTTCCGCTATCTCGGTAGTACAGAATGCATAATCGTGCTGCTCTCTTGCTCATCTGCGGTGGCATCTATTGGCTCTCCCTGGATGTTATCATTCGACCTTCAAGCACGACATGCTTCTTTTGAGCCCGACTGACTAATTCTACAGTTCACATAGGATGCATCGACAAAGCCTGGACGATAATCTAACCATTTACAAGCTGCTTTTCACAAGTTTTTGAGGTCCACAGACACGCGCCTAGACTTCACTGCCAACCACAAGCACACCTTCATCACGCGCATTGCGCAATGTCGTTTGGGAACTAAGGCTAAGATGCGTAGACTCTATAGAATCTATAGCCAATACTCGGAATTTATGACTCGAGTCCGGTTGTTCATGCATGTCGTCTCAGTATCCTTCATTATTGCACGATTCGTATCGAGTCCAACAGCGGGAATAGTGATCTTTTCGCAGAGTCTTCTTGTCTCAAGCAGCAAAAGATCCACTGCCATTGCTTTTACGGGGCGGGGGATCTAGAAGACGAGGGAAACAGGCAGGAGTAGCAGTGGTAGGTGAGGAGACAAGCTTACGTATGAGCCAGCATGACGAGGTACATCGGATCAACTTTCTTTACCGCCCAAGAAATGAACTTCGAACACTCAGTCGGAGCTTTGCATCTATCATGTCTATTTATCAACCTTCGAATCTTCCAACACGACGTATACAGTGTCATTGCCGCTGACAAGATCCTGCCTACGCGACCATACCTTGCTTTCTACGAATTGACTAAAGGCAGATTTTGGCAGATTCAAGGCGTGTCTATCACACCCAATGCCTACGATGCAAAACGGAAATCCAATCGTTTGTTACCCTTATCGGTGGTTGTAGCCAGGTATTCCGTACGTTGCTCTTCGGTCATACTATTCCAAACTCGGTCGCGGTGTCGATTGCGCAATGTATAGTACACCTTCGCAAAGATATACAAAAATACATTCAGAACACAGAGGGAAACAAGTGTCCGATTTCCACGACGATAACGAGGTCTGTCGTCTGCAAGACTCTGTCAACAAGCCTTTCAGGGGATTAAACAGGGCAAATTCTCACCTTGGCGGTAGATGTTGCTGGCGATGATGCCAGAAGACTGACATGCCATATTGTACAGTGCTGCGCTTACAGTCCTGGACCTGACTGAATTTGAATTTCGGGAGCTCCACCCCACTTGGATTGCGTGGACGCTGGGATAAGCGAGCAGAGTTGTCATGATGCCAAATGCTGCCCACTTGTTGATCGAGTTGATATCAACGGCGTAAATGTATGACAGAAACGGCAGGGCCCACAGTTGAGCAAGCAGACCAAATATCCAAAGCTGATTTACAATCTCGGAAAGGTATGTGAAAGTCAACATGGTGATGATATGACCGACATAGTTTGGAATCGACAGTAGATTTGTCATGAATGTATTGAATCCGAGGCCCCTCAATGTCAAGGTCAAGTATTGTGTCGGGGTGGCTATACTGTATGAGTACGATCGTGACCAATTGAAGGCGAAACGACTTACTCATGGGTGTCTGGAAGTTTAGACCAAGCAGATAAACGGGCCAGAGATCGTAGTCGGAAACACTGTCCCATAGTAACCTGGGAGTGATTGGCTGTCTATTGTGCATTGAACTTTTGCTTGGATCTTCACGAATGACTCTGTTGACCATTATAGTCTCCTCGCTGGGCTCTCGTCAGCGTGTATCCTTGAAACGCGCCTTGAGTCTTTCATTACCGTGATGTAAACCAACCCCTCTTTCCCCTTGCCCAATTCGCCGTTTGACAAGGGCCTGGTGGCATCAAGACAAAGGCAATGAGCCCTATTACAAGTGTGAAGAGTCCCTTCACATCACTTAGCTGACCAGGAACGCAAACAGAGGGATCACAAAATACCTCAACAAGGAATAGCCATCTCCAACCGGCGTAACCAAGGTGTCCTCGGAGATGGAGCAATCCGAAGCCCAAGAAGCCGGCGATGATGTCAGCAATCGACATGGCAGTCCACCAGAAGCCAAGACGAAGGGAGAGCTCGCCATGCTTATAGAAGTAGGACAGGTAAAGGATCATCTTCCCGGAGTCAGCAGCTTCATAGTAGACTGGTCGGAGCACTCACGTCTGGAATGAATCCTCCTTGTAAAAGGCCTAAGAGACACCTGCATACCAAGAAACTAGATCGTCCAGATAGCCAGAATTGAGCACTGGCAACAATCGACCACAGAATCATCTGGGTCGGAATCCATCGATCTGGCCCTATCCATTTCGATACCAGTTGAGAAGGCAGCTCCGCACAGAGAAAGGACAGCTTAAAAACAGAGTTGCCCCAGTTATAGTCTGCTCGTTGTCAGCCGTGTTAGCAGGACATGTGAGGTGCCAGCAGAGTTCAAACCATTTGTGTTCATGTGGAGCTCCGGCAGAAAGTTGTCAGTCAGCGCTTGATTGATGTTGGCCCTATCCAGCTCGAGTGCCATGAACATGACGCAGGCAAAAATCATGATCCTCAAATCTATTTTTCGGAGCACGCTATACTCTTCCCTCCAAGTCCATCTTGCGGAAGGATCAAACCGATGGATGTTTTCCCAATCGGGCCGAGGGAGATAATATTTGGCAGAACCGGGGTCATCGAAGACTGAAGGCTGTGTTGCAACAGTGTCAGCGTCATAGCCGCGCCGTCTTTGCCACCAAAACTTCTTTTCTTCGTGAGGCTCGCCTAGATTCAGACTCCGTATCACTTCTGTAGAAATTTTGATCTCAGGACCCGACGGCGGACCAATTAAGGATTCATTGCTGACAATGACCTCAGTCCTTGGGGATGGAGTTGACTTGACAAGGACTGTTGCCATTTTGACAGAAGGAAGGAGATGAGAGTAATGCAATACACCAGAGTGCGAGTATTGGGAATAGAGGCCAGTGATATATGTGTTAATGTTCTACTTACTCCGGTGGTGGCTATGTCAACTCTCAATAACATTGGTGACGGCTCTCAATCGCATATCTTGGCTACAATTGCAACATTTGAGCCCGGCACAAGATAACCTCGCACGACATTAACGTGAATTATTTGTTTATTGCCAGAAGGTGAGTAGCAACCTACCCCATAAGTCTTGGTCTTGTAGTAGGACAACCTTGTGGAACTCTTGACATTCCTTAGGTCAAAAGCATGCTCCCCTGGTGCTGATAAGCTGAAAGGATGAATAGACAGTGTGAATGATAGGAATCAGGCCTTGGTGCGAGACTGATGGCACAAGAAGTAATGATTTGCCATGTTAATGCAGAAATTGCGTGATATTGCGTGACAACTCTTGGTTAGCTCTGCTGGGTCGGCCAAACATAATAGCAGATTGAGTATTGTGCATATCATCTTTCCTCAATAAGAGCAAAGACCTCTTAATCCAATAAGCCTTAGTCCTTGAATAAGTCCCAAATTCTACGCTTCCAAGATCGACAATCACTCTTTGCCTCCGAGACAGCTGCCACCCACTCTCTTCGATCAGAGAAGTCAACCTTGTTTAACGGAATCCTATTGTTGCAGGCATGGTTAGCATTCTAGAGAGTATGGGTCAGATTCGGAGCACTCACCAACGCATTTTGAAGTACAACTTGTATCCCACAAATAAGATCACAAAAGTCGGGATGGTGATGTAGCATGCGATGAAGTTTTTCCAGTCGAAGGGGTCCTTGAAAACTGTATATCCCTGAACAAGAAGCAGAAAGACATAAAAGACAAAGTTGGCACGGTATATCCAAATGCTCCCCCATGCCTTGTAAGGAAATGTGTTGATGGAGACTTCTTGCTTCTGTGCGGCGGCGCGAAGCCACAGATGTGTGAGCGTGATGGACGCCCAAGAAATGTATGCAGCTGTGCCGCCCACACTTGTCATATAGCTAAATACTTGGCCGGCGCTCAGCTTCCGATTCATGAGGCAGAGAAAACCCCAGAGATTGGAGGTGAGAATGGCAACATAAGGAACTGTAATCTGTTAGTGACTTATAACAAAGCGCCGAAATACTCTTGAAGATCCCTACCCCCACGAGATGTAGTTTTTGCAAAAACCTTTGGAGCCCTCTTCGTTAATGCGAGAGAATATATTGTGCGTGACTGCACATACACCACCCCATTCGCTGCTGAGACGAAGGCCACTAAGATCAATGCGTTGACAAGATGACCAGCTGATTTCCATCCAGCAGCAACAAAGCCAATCGTGAATGGGGATGAGGCGGTCTTAGACGACGCATTAAGTAAATCGGGTGAATCAGAAGGACAAATTAACCCTTGAAAGAACGGCATTCCGACATAGACTACCAGGATGCGGTAAACGATGGAATTGATAGCCTGTGGCCTTTTAGTAGCTGCTTTCGGGGACCATGAATGAAAGGAAGATCCACGGACCCTGGGAATATCTCTCTTAGGGTTCCTTGACTCTCCTCCGGCTAGGGAGATGATCTCGGTGCCAACGTAGTACGCCGCAGCGAGTACAAAGACTTGCCCGAACCCATCAATACCGTGAATAATTGGTCCTACTTAGTGTCAGAGTGGGTATGGTGATTCGTGTTTCGCTGGGTTCATACCTGTGGGTTTCTTCCAGTATCGAAACCCAATATAGTCACCACCAAATCCTCCGACATTGGCGACAATAGATAAAATAAACAAAAGAACTAGGGATCCAAACTTGAACATTCCAAAATAGTACTCAATTTCGCCGTACACTCGGACACCGAGCATTGTGAGAACGGAAAACACTGCCCAGAAAATGAGCGCCCAGGCGTAAGAGGGAAATGTTTCATCCGAGACCCAGAAGCGTAAGGTTAGTACCGCAGAGTTCCAATCTTTCCAGAGTTAGATGGCTCTGAAACGCGTGTTGAGAGTTTTTGCGCTAACCTGAAGCAAGAAAGACACTCCACATGAAGTAGTACAACCAAGACATGGCGAAGCTCAATGCCGGGTCTACAAAGCGGCCGGCATGCTTTTTCCACATTAGCTTTGATATGACTTGATATCTGTGAAGGGAACATTTACCTCAACAAATCCTCCATGAATCGGAAACAGAGTGGTAATTTCACCGACACTCTGCATGAGGAACCACACGGATACACCCACAATGCTGAATCCGAGAAGTGCACCAAGAGGCCCAGACAGAAAAATGGCATATCCTAGGCCCCAAAACGTCCCAGGTCCGATAATACTTCCCAGAGCTATGATGACAAAGTGCCTTCCCTTCAAGCCTCTTCGGAGACCGTCGTCAAGGATGTCACCCGAAACATCATGGGCAGGCGGATGCATATCAGAGGGAGATTTAGGTGCTTCAGTTGCTCCGAATGTATACGCTCCTTTGTCGGCATAATGATATGGTCCTTCTGTTGAGGTGCAAGTAATGGAGTTAGTCATCTCGAACGGGCTGTCAAGGTAATACGTGAGTAGATGCGTATATGAACAGAACAAGGACAAGAACACAAGAACAAAAATCATCACAGATACTTATAACCACATTTGAAGCTTCATCGAGAATCCAACCCGCCCACAATCGCACCTGGATGCCACATGGTCTCAGTGTAGTCTTCTTCCCAGCCAATCGGCGAGATCAGAAATTTGCCTTGCGCATTCTAGTTTGGATTCTTGCAGAAATCGTGATAAATGCCCTAATTTGCGTCAATTTCAGGACCGAAAATTCACCCCTACGAGATCTCTGACTCATCATAATGGTACATAGAGCGGATCTCAACTGTCACCGAGATTGATAGCAATAAATCTTACATGTAACACTCTTGTTGACCTTTTCATGATAGTCCACATATGTTCTTAGGAGGATGGAGCTTAAGGATGCTTCTGAGGCTTAAATCTTGCGTGCGAGCTTTTGATATGACACCATCCACACTAATGAAGACCGAAAAGCAATGGCTCTGTACCGCGTGCATATCTCTGTACGCGCTCGCCTTCAGAGAGGGGGGATGTGAGTATGGGTGATGATTAAGATGATCATTTTGAAAGGAATGCAGACGAGGAGGACGGTGAAGAGCAAGACGAGGATGATCTGATTATATATCGTGATGATGATGATGATTGAGAAGTTGATTTCAGACTTCGATATTGTAACGTTGGCATTCCATAGAGGATGAATTTCATGAGCATCGAATTGGGGTTGAATTAAGTGCAGGCTGTGAGAGATCTATCCGGACTGGATTGATCACTTTCGGAAAGTGTTACTCAAAAAGTTCCAAGATCAATCCATCTTCCTTGTTCCTTAGGTAGACCAGTCTCCGACCGGCATTTGGGCCTTTCTCCAACAGCTGCGGTGCGGCCATAGTCGTCCAGCTAGAATCATACTCCGTTAGCGCCTTCACAGTGTCATCCAGACTTTGCACCGTCAAACAGAGATGCCAGCTTCCCACTTCCCAGCTCATAGGCTTCATCTCTACTTGCTTCTCTTCCACTGGCAAAGAGTATTCGAGCAGCTCAACACAATGACCCCCAGGGAGTTCAATGATAGCAATATCAATTTCGACCTGGGAGTGGCCCGTTATCGTAGAGATGGGGGGTGACAGACGAGCTGTTCGCTGCACGGGAAGGTTGAGAATGTTGTGGAAAAGATGAGTGGCGCGTTCCAACGAGCGGACTGTGATGCCCGTGTGGGGTGCGTGCAAGACTTTGACGGGAGAAGCCATCTTGATTGTTCCCAATTGATAACCCAGGGGAAAGGGTGAGAGTTATATATGTGAGATTTGCTGCATGGGATGTTGGTGCTTGATTAGAAATCATTCTTGGCGCAAAGTGACGCACCGAGACTCGTCGGATTTTCCGTACTGATGATATTATATTATACTATTAATGGAATTTATCGGCCTCGATTGGTTTTGACCACTAACAAAGGATCGCCGTGCCCGGTCAGGTGATTGGTCGTTTGCGCTCATAGTGTGTTTGCGATGATCAGTATAATCACAGCATACGAGTTCCTGGTGACTGGTGGAAAGTATGCTGATGCTTTGTGATGTGGCAGTGCTAGCTGAAAGGGGTCCTCGTTCGTGCAACGATTACCAATGAGTGGGCGGATCTCAAAAATAAAAAGCCCAACAATATCAGATACGAAGAACGAGCTCGTACAGCCTCATCATTCCCGTCAAGTTCAGTCGCTAGTTTTAACTGTTTTTGCTAGCAGCAGTGGCCAGTCCGTAGTCGCAGAAGCCGTACCAACCTTAATCGCCGCCCCAACTAGCGCTGTCGAACCACGTCAGGATCTCACCACCGAGTACCTGACGCTTGTGCACAATGAGTCTACTCGCAGCTCGGCAGCTTACAGTAGGGAACGCACATGGCCCACTCTGAACCCGTGCGACGTCCCAGAAGGCCTGGCGTGAACAGGTTGAGCGTTCACCCCATTGCAACCCCAGGTGCACCATGCTAGCCCACATCCCTGTGGTCAAAGAGTGAACAAGGACGTGCTAGTTGCTGCGAGCTGCCTCAGCGCTCTGCTTAAATACTCGTCGCCTCCTCATAGCACCTTGCCACGGGCTGCCTATCACTTTTGCTCGCTCCGATATGCCACAGAGCACCGTTTGGCCAAGATTAAGTACATTTCCAGCGATTCGACCTCTGAAACGATCCGTTCAAAGTCTGCTCACCCTTCCATGTCGGATGGATCAGGAAAGCCCTCGAAGCCCGAGGCACTGACTCTGGAGGCATGGTCCCAAGGTATGATGGTAGGATCTCTGGTGGTCATGGCCTTGATCACCACCGCCAACATGCGCGCCGGGGTGCTGCTGCATAAATTGGTTTTGCTCGAGGTGCGCCCCTCTCTAGCACACAGGCTTGTGTTAATCGACCTTGCTTACTCGTAAAAAGCTTGCTCTGGCTATTCCCAACGGATTTTTCATCTTCTTCAATCCACCGGTATTTGGTTGGTACCTGTCTTCCACCGCCGCCGTGCTCATCGCTTCCTGGACCTTGCACAACATTATTGCGTGGATCAAGAACAAGCCGTTCCTGAGCACCTTGACAAGCCGAATGTACATCGGCACCGTCATCGTGGCCCAAGGATACTGGATTCTCGAAATCTATGCCAACTTTACATACTTTAATGACCTGAATGGACATCTTTTCATCAAGACGCGGCCTTACGAAGCACTCTTCCGGTAAGAACTTTTGTTTTAGCTTCCTATGTGTCGTTCAAATACTTACGTCGACAACTCGAAGCGATCCCTGGTGGATCTTCACCACGCTCAACCTCTTCTGGAACATCAAACACACTTACGGCTTTGGCTTTGTCCAGCTGATCAGGGTCTCACCCCGCTTTGGGATCCTACTCCTCAGCATGAGCCTAAGTGTGATATTCATTGTCGTCGACATTCTGTCAGTCACGTCTGTTCTCAAGACCGGCGCGATCAACCCATTTTGGAAGTTCTCCTTCGTCTTTAAATGCTTCACAGATACCATCATCCTCGACGATTTCAAAACTGCGCTTGACAGGATTGCCCAACACCGGACCATCTTTCCTCCCGATGTAAACTTTTCTCCGCAGAAGGAGGGAGCACGTCCAAGCTTTGAGCTGAAGAATGCTGGACATATTGAGCTTTGCGTAGAAACCTCGGAACAGACACTAGCTCTAGGGAGAGACTCGATGGTTTAGGCGAGAATTAGTGTTTTGCGACAACACAAGCTTGAGTTCCTCTTCGGCATGAAAATGACCGGGGCCTGCGATGGCTGCGAGCCCATGTAATCATGAATCATTGGAACATGTAAACCAAATGAACCTCAAGGGAAAAGCCGTCTATTGCTCCACCGGGAAAGGCCCCGTCAAGGAGACTTCAGTTCCCCGGCCCTGGCCTTCGCTTTTGCCACAATGCCTCGGGTCATTGGCCTGCACAAAAACGAATGTCTTCTCAGAGGAATGAATATATATACCACTGTACCATCCCTTTGAGGCCTAATTCCATCTCTCTGTATGGACCAAGTCTGCACAGATCATCCCTTTCCTCTCCTCTCCTCTGCCTTTGTAGATTCACTTCCCGCCACGCAATGATAAGCATGCCATGATAGATATCTAAGCAATTATTTCTCTCCCAAATATTCAACCATTGACGCACGCTTGTGAGTGACGTCTTGCTCCAGGTCAGCCAGGCTTTTCTTGCGTCCATCTTGTGCGATGGCCGATTCCAATTCGGCAAAGTGCACGGTTGGAACAAAACCTTTTGACTCCCAAGCCTTGTCTACCTTGGCATAGAGCTCGTCCACCTGCTCGAGCGATAGGCCCTTTGTCTCGTAGATGAAGAAGTAGACAAAGGCGACACAGACGCAGCAAAAGGCAGCCCAGATGAAAAAGACCTTTGACCCCAAGTTGGCATTGCCTGGCCCGTCGTTGACGAGGTAGGGAGTGGCATAGGCGATGGCCCAGTTGAGAAGCCAGTTGGAGGCAGTGGTGATACTGAGTCCCTTTGCTCGGGCCTTGAGTGGGAAGATCTCGCCTGTGACCACCCACGCACAAGGTCCCCATGTGGAGGCGAAGAAGACGATGTAGAAGCAGACAAAGGCAATGAGCGCCTTGCTGGCGGTTTGGTTGTCTGGCAAGGCCGTGCCAACACTCGCGACAATGAGCTGGCAGACGCTCATGCCGATTGCACCGGCCAGTAGAAGAGGACGGCGACCCCACTTCTCGACCAGAAGCAGCCCAGGTGCGGTGCCCACGACATTGACCACACTGGTGATCATACTGATGACGAATGGGTTCTTGATCCCGGAGTGGGTAAAATATGAGGTACCGTAGTAAAAGATGAAGTTTACACCAGTCAGCTGCTGAAGCGCCTGGAGCGAGGCACCGGTGAAAAGTCGCTTTCGAATACTGGGATTCCTGATGAGCTCCAGGTATGACGCACTGCCAATGGACATCTCGTAGTTGTGGTTTGCGACAATTTCGGCAAGCTCTTCGCGAAGTTCAGGATGATCGACAGGCAGTTTGCGGAGCCGACCCAGAGATCGCGCCGCGGCTTCAAGATCTCCCTTTTTGATGAGGAAGCGCGGGGTCTCGGGGAGTACGATCATCCCAATGACCATGATGATGGCGAAGGCGAATTGGACGGCAACAGGAATTCGGTAACAACCGGTGTTGTTGTGATTCTTGGTGGCATTCAAGACGATTGCGGCGAGCAACAGACCAAAAGTGATGGCCCACTGATAGCAGCCGACGATTGTACCTCTAATCCACCTGGGTAGCGTCTCGGATTGGTATAAAGGAATCGTGGCACTAAGGAGACCGACTCCAAGTCCAGCGAAGAATCTCCCCGCTACGAACATGGGTATTGCAGTTGCAGCCGTCTGAAGAACAACGCCCAGGGTGAACACTCCGGAATTGAAAATCATGGCCCATCGACGACCGATGATATCAGCCAGTGGGGCCGAAAAAAGTGCGCCCTACGGTGGGTCGATGTTAGTGGCATCCCCCCTGAGTGAGGATTGTTTGTGTTGCGGAACTCACAAAGAAAGTGCCTGCAGAGAGAATCGAGACAATCTCGGAAGTCTGTGAGGCTGTGACATCTGGAAAATTGTCTCCGGGATTGATGTAGCCGGTCGAGAAGAGTTTTCTCCAGTACTTCATGGCAAGGATACCTCCGATGGTGCCTGTGTCATATCTTGACAATGTTAGCCTAAAGAAATGACATTAATTTTCCAATGTGGCCTCACCCGAATAGCACACCACCAAAGGCCACGAATGCACCAACGAGGATAGCAGTGGTCGCCGACCCTGCGACATCGTCGGGCTTGTTGAAAAAGAAGCCCATGTCTACAGACTATTGGAATGAGTTGCTTGGTTGTTGTTGTTAGTGAGAACTGAGTGTTGTGATTTTTTCAGTGACATTGTGTCTGGTGGGATGGCTGGTGCTCTTATACCTTGTCGCGCCTTACTTCGGACTGATGACTTTGACAGAGGGCAGCAGGTCGGCTCAATCTGCCAGTCTGCGAGGGTGGTGAGACCCATGCTAAGCATGTGTTGCACCTCGTTCGGACCTCAAAACGTCTCCGAGCTGCGACGATGTGATGATTTGACTTTCGAATCTTTTATTCCAAGATGTAAAAGGTATGCGCAAGCGGAATGCTCCATACTGACCAGGTCTTGGACAATGGTCCTGGTCGACCTCCTGCACCGACTGATATTGTCAGTTGCCAGCTTTCTCAACGGAAAGGTGACAACGAGGATCAATGAGGATCCTGTGTTTGAGCGCATGAAGGAGCGCAGCAATAACCGAGCGAGAAGTGGAGTGGCCTGACTGCTTGGCTAATTCTCTATCACTCCACATAACTTCACAGGGAAAAGCCAAAACCCCGCGGGGCCATAGTTATTGTCTTGCAGGACTGTGTTGTAACGCTGGAGTAGTGGAAACAGAATATCATGCCCGCCAATGCCCCATTCAAGCTGCATTGTGTGATAGCTACCATGGCGATGCCGGGCCTGTTGTGACGGAAATCACGGTTATGCCACTCAAGTGCGATGGAGTGAGGGTACATTTGTAAAGGATCCACAGCTTCTAGAAACATGCATGATGCTTCTAGCGTCGCGCTACCCAGGAAGGAGGAGGGAGGTTTGGAGATTCTGGAACGATTGGCCCGCCACGAAGATTGGCCTCTTGCAGATTGCACTTGCGGAACGCTCTCTAGTGTGCAAGTGTGGCCTGCACTCGTTATTATAGGCCGGGTGGCTAGCTTGATGGAGCTTTGTGCTTTGAAATCGGCCCGACTTGCCCCATGGATGACGGTGAAGATCAACCTTATTCCGCCCGATACGACATGGAATGGTCCTAGGCGTCACGCTAGAACCTCACTTGAACCTTCTGTGCATTGTATTTGAAGAGATACAGCAGATATTGGAACTAGCGATTTTCGATAATCGGGCTTGGAGCACCTTTGAAGCGAAATGATCTTGGCACTACTGTTAGATGGAATGCAACGACCAGGCAATTTGATCGTCAGGGGTCTAACATGATGTATTGTCGAGTCTGATCACGATAACTAGGGCACCGTTTGCTTCAAAAGGAATAAGAATTCATCCTCTAGTTCAGGCCTTTCTGACCGTGATATGCAATTCTAGGAAGGCGAATGCTAGGCGTCATAAGTTGCCTCAAACAAGCGCCTGTAAAATAGGCTTAAGGAGTAAAGACTGAGCGTCTGAAAAGGGCTGCAGAAGGAGCTACTGAGCCTAGTACTAGGTCTCGATTTGTAAAGATAGGGAGGGTATCGGCTGCGTACGCCGCGCGGGAGGTCCTGCGCCGTCTAACATATACTTAACCCTCCCCATGTTTACCTTCACGACATATGCGTAAATCATAGTCTCACCACGAACGTCTACTACCGCGACCCGGACAACAACAAGATGGAAACACAAGTTGACAACTTCGAGAACTTCCAGGAGGCGAGGGCGTTCATACTATCCGAATAGACTCTGATTCGAACGAATTGTACCAACGAGTCAAAGCTGGGGAGCAACAGAAAGAAATGAAGAGGAGGATTGAGATCGGCCGGCCCATCGTTGTTTGCCAGTGCTTTCAGCGGCAGTGCGTCGAAGAGGCGATGGGGCTGGACTCCCCAGATCTCCTGATAACTCGTAAACCCCCAAGTTAGCCCCTGTGTCACTAAGACTTGGTCCACCGTTATGGTAGAGGGTGCCACGAACCGCAATTCCCGCAGGTGCCGCATTTACTGCGACTCCGGTAGCATGCGACGACCAACGTCAGCCCACATACGATTACTCGAGCCTAGAGAAGGCAAAAATAACTCCATACGATCTAGAAATATTGGAACTCGAGCCTTGAAAAACATTTGACGTTCCTGACGAATTCAAACACCGAGAGCCGACTCAACAGAAGCAATAGTAGAGTATATTTGGCATACGATACTTCTTCTCCTCCCACCCGTACCAGGTGACGAAGGCGAGATCGCGCACTTTCACGACCATTTCAGTCACCCACTCTGTCAAAATTTCCTCCTGAACAAACTCTAGCCCAGCAAAGAATTGCCATTCTCTTAGTACCTTCTTAAGTTGGCGAATAACGAGTGCGATGTCAACCAAACGGCTAGCACTCGTGACAAGCAGTATCCGGGAGCCTCGCTTGAACCCGGCCATTACAAGTCACGTCCACGAAGTATCTACGGGAACCTGCCTGGCGCAACAAATCAGTGTTGAAACAATCGACCTTCGTAGGATCTCGCTTCCTCCAGATACGGAACCCGAAGTCCCATCCCATTTGCCCGTGGAGGACACGTCTTCTCACTACGCCTTCGCTCACACGCGAGAATGGTCGAAGCTAGTCAGTCAGTACGACTGTTTCATCTTTGTGACGCCGCAGTACAACTGGAGCGTCCCGGCAGGCCTAAAGAATGCTTTGGACTATCTTTTCCACGAGTGGAAGGGGAAGTCGGCCGGCATTGTTAGCTACGGAGTCAGAGGAGGTGGAAAGGCCGCGAACCACTTGCGAGATATCCTCACCGGCCTACGTATGAAGGTGGCGCCTACAATGCCAGCGCTGCCAATACCGACCAATTCTTTCGAGGTCGGTCAAGCTGAAAAGGATAATTGGGAAAAGGCTGGCTTGAATCTGAACATCATAGCCATGGTCAAAGAGGTCTTGGAGGCTAATCAGGTTATGCTGGGGCCATAATTATGCACAAATCAACCGGTAATCTGGCCACGAAGACTATTTCAGCAAAAGAACATGAATCAAGCTTATTTCTACTACTCAAGAGTCGTCGAGTTTAAGTGTATTAGAGTCGTCCGTCTTTCTGCCGTGGGAAAGAGACGCAAAATAAGAGATGAAATACGTCACAATGTCAGATTCAGCCTTACTGCGAGATTACTCGCAGATGTAATAATGAAACTGGTCATGCATGAGAGAAATACAGTATGGACTGTCCCTTACATGGTCGGACAACATTGCTGAAACTCTTAGTGGGGTGTCTCTTCTCGCACTTCGTTCGAAATCGATGAAAAGTGTGTCCTACATGCAAGATCTGAGCTACGTTAAGCAGCCATTCTATGACCCTGGGTAGCTAGTAGTAACATTGTCCTACTACTCTGTCCCATACTCTTTCTCTTAATGACACTGCCCGATGGTCGGTGTACGTTGAAGTTTTCCCGAGCCTACTCGATCGATCTAACCATTTCCTATGGCTGTCGTGACGGCCTGTACCTGTATCAGAGCTTTATGAACAGCTGCTGACGATGCCATTTCCATGCCATTGAATGAATTTCGGACTGTGTAGGTGTGGAAACAGGACCGCCGTTACTCATCCCTCCTCATCATCGTTTCTTGAGTACTTCCCACGAGACCTGATTCTCTTTCCAAAGAGATAGAATACAAAGGGTATTGGAATCATGGCAATGGAAATGAAGCCAACCAGGCTACCCGCCCAAGGTGTACCCAAGTTGTCATACATTGGATGCACAACAAGAGGAAACGACCCGGCAAAACAACTTCGCATGAAAGTGTTGGCAGCAACGGCACTTGCAGCGCTGTCAGACGGCTGAAACGTGTCGATCAAGTAGTTCATGGCGGCTTGGAATATGGTGGTGAAGCCGAAGCCAGTGCAGGTGAGGCCGATGCACGGCGCAATCCAAGGAAATCTCCCCGCCGCCGTCCATGAAGTGATGAAGCTGCCGGCAGCGAAGAAGACTGATCCGACCATCATTGGGGGCAACCGGGCTTCAGGAAGGCATTTTGTGCCCACGCGCGAGATTTGCACGTTGTACCTAGTTTGATTGTAGATGTTCACTGCCGCTCCGAGGAGTGCCCCGACCGTAATACTGAGAAAGGGCAAAGAACTTCGTACCAGGGGCCAGCCTCGCCCATCGTGGAATATTATGGGAACGGCTCCGAGCTGCATATACAGGATGCCATAGCAAAAGCTCGCATACAAAGCCACGGCAAAGCAGATCGGTGTCGTGAGAAGCTCCAACGGTCTTATCAAGAACTTGCGCATCAGCTCCGCAAAACTGGTATCCCACTCTTCGGACCTCGAGTGCAGGGCCCAATTTCGACTCTCCAACCGCAGTCTCATGGCCTTTCGGCGCAAAATGACGGGTGAATATGTCTCTCGGATATAGAGGAAATCGAAGGCTAGAACAATCGCCGACAGGATTCCGGTTATGTATTCTGTCCACCTCCAACTCAGCGAAGGTTGAACGACGAGGGCCGAGCCCACGATAGGACCTAGGACCGGCCCACCGACAACCGCCAGCGAGTAGCCCGCCATGGCGATAGCTCGGCTGTTGGAAGAATACATCTCACCCAAGACTCCTCCAGTATTTGCTACCGGCGCGCTTGAGAAGAAGCCGGTAAAAAAGCGTGTGATCATCAACGTTTGGATATCCTTCGCTGTGGCCGACCCAAAACTGAAGCACATTGCTACCACGCAGGCTGGCAGAGTGGCGACTTTCCTGCCATACACTTCAGACAAAGGAGCCCATAAGAGAGGCCCAATGCCAAAACCAAAGAGGAACAATGTGATGGATAGAGTCGCGACTTCGACGGAGACGTGAAACCCCGAGGCGACTCCTGGCAACCCTGACGAGATGCAGCTCGAGGCCCACGTCGCGGTCATAGTCGTCAGACCGTACAATACTGTCGTATAGACCTTTCTCCGGGTGCTCCAGTTGAGAGCATACAAAGGATCGTCCGGTCCGTCAAAATCCACCACATTCTTCTCGTTCTGCTCTTGCTGCATTGTTGAGGGTGTTCGATCTGAGCGTCACACGACGGATTTGAAGAATGAATGACGCTCTGAACTGCACGACACAGTTTCCCTATATCAGATTTTTGTCCGGTGACAGTCACGACGGTAAATCAAACAAGCTCGTCAACGACTCGATTCGTCAATATATGTGTAATGGTAGTTGTGCCAAAGAATAGGTCGTGTTCACCGTGCTTCATGCACTCCGCTCAGCTGTTTCCTGCATTAAACAATGTTAATTTCTGTGAAAGAATCCCTCTCAAGAAGTCGGCGCTTAGTATAGTTAGTCTTTACTATGGCGTAGCTAGGTATGGTGGAGTCTCCTGGCACAGATATACACACGATACCCGGTCTAATGACCGAAGCGAAGGGTGGAGCGTCAATGGTTTATTTTCACGCATAGAATGTTGGCTGTATTACCACTACCTTTCTGGGAGATTACCGGTGACAAGGATTAGTTTACCGTCTGCAAGATAGTATTCAGTGATCCGCAATATCCGCATCTCTGTAGTCATGCTCCACTAAGGTATAGTGTGTGGCCAGCTCGGTGTCGGTGATAACACAGTATGGCAGAATTCTTGGGCCGGGCTCAAAGTCTTTTGATAAAATTCAGATTCTCGGATGTTAGTGTTGCCTTTGATTACCATGACCTAAGACGTCGGTATTTGACACTGCTGAAACCCAACATCCTGCGTATGATTGGAAGCTTGATGAAAGGCGCCTTTGATGTACGCCACCATTTGTATGAGCATGGTCGCTCGACATGCAGATAGTCAACAAAGAGCTATCTCAAGTTGCAGCAATATACGCAACACGATGAGCAGAAGCAAATTGACACTCTCCAAGCCATTTCTGTGGCAGTCGGTGACCTAAATTCAGTCCGACATTTATCGATGGGTACTACTCTGAGTCATCGTAAGATCGACGTGGACGAAGGCGCGAAGATTGACGAATTTTGGGTGTGATCGTGCTTCCGAATGCTCAGAAGAGCCTCACTGCCAGACTCCTGCTATCTCATAACCGGGTACAAATATTAAGGACAATAAGGACATGGGTTATGCAGCGGTGTAGCGAGCTTGAGGTACTGAAACGTGGATGATACTCCGTATAGGAATATCATGCGGACTGCGATTATTGTATTGTGTTGGATACAATACCAAAGTAAGCGCTCTCTTTCCGCTTACCCAGTGTGATGAAAATGTTTCAATGTTATCTGAAGTTTAATATCTAACACGTGAACTAATCTCACTTTTTCTGTCTGATATCTTGATCATCTTGAGTCTTTTCTGTCCTGGTCACTGCATCTTATGTATACTATTGATCGTCGTGTTGTTAACTAGAACTCGAAATCATGGCTTCCAACTTTTTTACCAGAGAGTTTGCGTTGGTTCCTGGAAGTTCTACTCGTGCCAATGGAAAGGAAGAGATATTTTATGCTGATCTTATGTACAGCTTTGATTGTTTCCCTTCGAACATCCTTGTGCCGCGTATGTTCACAAAAGGACACGAGCAATTCTTGTGCAGCTTGAGCCGGTGTGTTAGTTAACAGCTATGTCTAGTTTGTGACAACCCCGAACCAGCTGGATAGTTTGCGAAGGACATTAGAGGCGGCCAGTTCCAAGAATATGATCTCGAGATCCGGAATATGGGGACACATGATCCAGACACATCGTTTCATCATCTGAAATCGCCATTACCACGGTGATTACTGAGATACAGTTTGAGTGGGGGTTTTCAACTTCTCAGGCTGAGAGTAGGAGCTTGGTGTCGAACAGGGTGAAATGATGATCAGCTCCCAGCTTTGATGTCGCAAACTGCTTCTTAACTCGAAGCTTGAAGGCCTGATCAACTTCTTAGAGCCCGTTGGATGTTTTTGTGCTAGTTGTTCTGCTGCAATGGTAATTCCCACTTAGACATAGTCCACGGGAGAAGTGAAAGAGCTCTCCTTAGAAGCATCTGCGAAAGTTCATAGGCATGACTAGCAGCCCATTCGTTGACTGATCGACCGCGATTGGCTGAATTAAGCTTGTAAAGTCATGTTCAGCCGGCTATGGGTGGTTTCAACTTCGACGTCTTGATTCTGGTAGTTCGTTGTTTTGTTCATGAAATAAAACTATCATGTGACACTTTATTTATGCCTTCGCTGTAGTTTTTACAATAATATATCGCACTCATTTCTATCTATCTTACTACGAGAAATTTTCTGATTATTGGTAACGATTTTTACGATTAAGATATCGCATCATCGTGTTTTATATGACTTCTATACTTATATTCGGCTCAGTATTCGAGGAGGTCACGAAAAGGTTGACGATGACCTATCTCAACTATCATGAATGTCGACCGCTTGTTTGCAACAACTCATGACTCGAAATGATACCAAGCGAGTTCGCTATAGTCCCCTATACCGGAGACTTCTGTACATTTATACGCAAAGCAAGGTACCTAGACACAGTGCTGTACACCTAGCAATTAACGGAAATCCGACCGCGATGGTTTTCCCGATAATCGTTCTTGTTGATCGCTGGGAGTATATGGATAACTCGAGATGGTGACTTGGTCGCTGCCTGCCTTGCAGGCTATGCAGCGCATGATTGAAGCCGGCTAACGCTCCTACCGTCGATCTTCAACGATTCCTCCTTCGATGCCATGATATTGTTGGCCTATGAGATGGACACGGTAAATCCGAACCTGCGGCAGGACGATGAATATCTAGCAAGAGGGGGAAATCAACTCGGACATGGTGGGATCTCGAAGCTAAGTTGGCGTTAACTGACTGTACAAGCCCCACAAACCCTCTCGACGATTCCTTGAGTGATCGGAGCTACCGACAATTGTCTCTTTCTTGGTCAGACACGAGCACGTTCCAAATCACAAGTTAAGCGGTGGCCCCTGTCGAGTAACATTGTATATTTGTCTGTCATGCTCCCTCATCCGGACTTGACCCTGACAACGAACCTACGCGGTGGTGTCAGTCCCACAACTTGTTTCCACGAACCGGCCGAGAGGGAAATACCGTTAGGGCGTTGATGAAGAGGTGGGAGACTCTTTTCTCGAGCTGGCCGAGAGAGGAGAGTTTGGGTTGTTGGGACAATGATGATGATTCCGATAGTAGGTTTGCCTGCTCTTGTCGGAGTCATGCGAACCTGTCAATGTCTGCCACGAATCAGCCGGCAGTTCTGGTGCGTTCCAACGTCCTTGGACGACTTACCAGATACAGTCAGAGGCTTTTCTTTCGTGGTTGTACCAAGTCTTCCATCACGAACACCTGTGATAGCCACACGTCAGGTGTTCATGAGACTGTACTATCGCTCGTCTCCGCTGGTTTGTTCTTACCTCTGCAACCAAGTTCTCGCCATTGTCGAGGTGCTCTTCCCTTGAGAGCCTCATGAGTTCTTGTTTGTTCACTAACCAACTCTTTCGATGAAGACTCCAATACCGAAGCCTTTGTCTAGCGAGACAGTTTGCCGGTTGAATAGTCAATGTGCTCTTCTCTCGCTCTGGCAACCACTAATGTTTTCCTCCATCCTCTTTCAGCCCCTTCTCGTGTTGCTGTGCCATTACGGTCTTGCTGGTCTCACTTGCCACTACAGTGAGGGATCGATGGTCCGTGAAGGGGTGATGCACTATGCGAAGATCTCAGGATGTATGCCCACCATGTGCGGACTTACTCGGTGCATCTGCAAATATCTTATAATCCTCAGGAGGCTATGGTTTCTTTGCTAACATTGTTGTTGAAATGTTGGTATCGTGGTTGAAGACGGACTATTGGTTTGCGGGTATTGCTGATATTACTGATGATATTGGTATTGCTTTTGTCGCTGGTGTCGCTGGAGTCGTTGCCAGAGGCGTTGCCGTTGGTTTAAGCCTAAACCAGGGGGAAATACTTGAAAGTACGGACAAGGTAACAAGAGCAACTGCATATTTTCACACTGCATATTTCCACATGGGGGTATCACCCTTCATTTAATTAGATACGTACGACAAAGCCAGATTAAAATACTTCTGGCTACTCAGATTGTTCATCCATTGACACTCATGCTTGTCCAAGCCTCGGTAGGTTTGTATCTTTGTCGTACAGTGTACTTTTTGAAGACATCTCATATTTCTCTAGCCCTCTACTTACTCCTATGTAGACGCTGTAAACCTGTTGTCAACATTCTCGTTGTTGCCATCTCCCTCAAGCCTCAGGTATACAGGGGTTCAATATTCAGCTGGGCAGGTCCTCAGGTCTCAGCTGGTTAGAGCCTCAGGTGGCAACACGCTTACACAGACTCACCATTCGACAATCTTTTACAGGGCGAAGAAGACGGCCTTGACTTCAGTCCAGTAGTCTGTACAGTACTTGCCGAACTCTCTTCCATCACCACTTTGTTTCCACCCTCCCACCGGTACATCCATGGCACCAACTGGAGACGTGCAGTTCACGCCGATGGCCTTAGCTTCCAACGCTTTGGCCAACCTCCAGGCCCTCGAGACGTCCTTGGTGAACACAGAAGCGAACAAGCCAAATTCGGTGTCGTTGGCCAGCTTGATAACATCCTTTTCATCTGTAAATGTATTGATGCAAACCACGGGCCCGAATATTTCCTCCTTCATCACTTTCGAGTCCTCTGGGGCGTCCAGTAGAATGGTTGGCTCCACAAAGTAGCCGACATCCCCTATCCGCGAGCCCCCCAACCTACAGTGATGTGATTGTCCTTTGCGTATTGGACAAATTCCAAGACCCGATCGAACTGCATTTTGTCCACTTGAGGTCCTCGGGACGAGTCTGAGTCAAGGGGGTTACTGGCGCGACGTGCCTCGGACATGGTTTTCTTCATTGCTTCGATGAATCGGTCGGCAATATTCGCATGCACGTAAATTCGAGATGAGGCCACACAGACCTAACTGGAGTTACTCAAGATCGACAAGGTAGCGGCTGGCACGGCTCTTGCAAGATCGGCATCGTCGAAGATAACTAGAGGGCTCTTACAGCCGAGTTCGAGGGTGCCTATTTTGCCACCAACATCCACCTGGTCGGTTCCAACATCCTGTCCCACTCTATCGGGGCGATTCTGGGCGGCGCCGGCAAGGCGGCATGGATGGGACTCATCTTGACCTTCTAACCCGTCGTCCTTGGGCCCCCGGTCTGTCGCGCGACGGACCTTTGGGGCCGGAAATGGATGATGGTCGCTGCGCTGGCCCTCGGCGCCATCGGATCCATCATCATTGCCCGCACCGATACCATCGGCCAAGCCATTGCCGGCCAGGCTATTGCAGGCGTTGCCGGTATCAATCAGGCTCTTCCCCAAGCGGTCACGTCGGAAGTCCTCCCGCGCAGATTCCGCCCCTACGCTCAGGTGCTGATCAATATCCCCGGTGGTGTCGCAGCCGCGGTAGGCACGTACTTGGCAGGAGTCATGACTCGCGGATCGCCAGAGGGATTTCGCAACTACTTTTACCTGGTCATGGCCTTGTACGTCTTCTCGGCTTCCATCATCGTGTCCACCTACCAGCCGCCCACCCGGGAGCTTCAATGCCTTGCCTTGCGCGAGAAGCTCTATCGACTCGACCTCCCGGGCTGCTTACTTCTGGCTGTCGGCCTTCTCGGCGTCTCCCTGGCCCTCTGTTGGTCGTCGAACCCTTATAGCTGGAAGAATGCCCATGTCTTGGCCCCGTTGATCATCGGTCTCTGCTCTATGGTCATCTTGACCCTGTACGCCGTCTTTTATCGAAAGGACGGCATCTTCCACCATGGCCTCTTCAAGCGACGCAATTTCTGGGTCTCGGAACTTTGCTTTCTCGGCGAAGGCGTGGCTTTCATCGCCGCCAATATGTACCTCGGCCAACAACTCGAACTCATGTACGGTGCCAGCTCGTGGGAAGTTGCTTTGGTCTTTGGCGTTGCATGGTGGACGTGGGCTGCCTCGGCGCCCCTTTGCGGCTGGTTCATCGTCAAAACCCAACGGGCGAAAGTGGTCATTGTGGTCGCCCTGGCCTCCTTCACCCTCTACTTCGCCCTGATGGCCGCGACTAATTTGTCCACGAGGGCCAATATCTGGGGATATAATGTCTTCCTGGGTCTGGGATAGGGCGGCGGCATCTTGGCCCTGGTCACCGTCGCTCAACTTTCAGTGTCTCCCGAGCTCATCGCCCCAGCCACGGGCCTAATCGTCGCGACAAGAACATTCGGCGCATGTATGGGTATCAACATATTCAGCGCCATTCTCAACTCGGCCGTTAGCAGAAAGCTAGTCCCGTCGGTGTCAAGAGCAGCTGAAGCGGCCGGTCTGCCCGCGTCGAGCCTCGAACCCTTCATTTCAGCGCTGAATGGCAACCACCCAGACGCTTTGGCCTCTGTTCCCGGAGTTACTGACCAGGTAATTCAAGCAGCCACGACTGCCTCGCGAAAGGTGTATAACCTCGGGTTCCGCAACGGATACGCCGCTGCTGCTGCGTTCACAACTTTCGCCATGTTTGGTAAGACTCTCAGACCCTCTCGTTTACCATTTCTCGAAGAATGCTGACATGACCGATCCTAGCCGCACTCGGATTGAAAGACATCAACATGAGTATAGCGCCGCAATTGACGCTCCATTGAAGCCAGAACTATCGAGACTAGGGATAAAGACCGCTGAAGAAGAGGCATAAATCACATAAAACGGCCAGATTTGAGATATGAACAAAGAATTTTTTGTTCCTGAGGTTAATGAGGTGGCAGACAAGTTTGATGATTGTTCGAGAAACTCTCAACCGATGAGAGGTGGTCAAGTATCTCTCTTCTGTTTGAGTGGACCTAACAATATACTTCGGCACTTTTGGCCCAATCGCCATCATAAGATTTGAGTAATCTTCTAGTATTAACATACTTTTGAGCCAAACAGTGTCTGGTCTAATGGCGCTACAAAAATTTAGCACCGTTTGACTCAATTGTATTTACTTCAAGGAATTGTAGTGTTAATGCGAGGACGAGATTGCCCACCCAGTATTAACGCAAGAGTAGGCTACCCGTTTGTGTGTTTAGGAACTGGGCATGACTGGCCACAAGTTCATCTTGTTACAGCATTTGTGTAGATAAATCACATATTTTCAATTATCTTGTTGAAGATATAGAAGATCGCTAGCACTATCTCCACACTCACAAAGAGAAAATGAAGTTACTCCTTGATGAATTCCAGCAGATCCTTGTTAACCTCGTCGACATTAATGTTGTGAATGGCGTGAGATCCACCTTTGTAGATCTTCAATCTACCCTGAGGCAGAAGTTCTGCGGACTTCAAACCCGCTGATGCAATTGGAACAACTTGATCGTCGTCTCCATGCAGTACCAAAACCGGAATGTTGATGCTCTTCAAATCCTCGGTGAAATCTGTTTCAGAAAAATCCTTGATCGAATCATACGCTGATTTGAAACTAGTGTTCATCCCTTGCTGCCACCAACTACGAATCTGACCTTCGCTCTTTTGTGCGCCAGCACGATTAAAGCCAAAGAATGGTCCGCTGGGAACATCCAAGAAGAACTGTGCGCGGTCTTGGAGCATGGCCTCGCGGAACGAATCGAAGACTGACTTGTCTGTCCCTTCTGGGTTTTCGCTCGTCTTTACCATTAAAGGTGGAACGGCAGCGACAAGCACGGCTTTCTTGAAACGAGCGGTTCCGTGCTTTCCAAGGTAATGGGTGACCTCTCCTCCTCCGTGGGAATGACCGACTATGACTGCATTCTTAACCCCGAGGTGTGTAAAAAGCTCTTCGAGATCGTCGACAAAGGTGTCCATATTATTTCCAGCCCAGGTCTGAGTAGATCGTCCGTGGCCACGGCGATCGTGCGCGATGACGCGGTAGCCCTGATCGGCGAGATACATCATTTGGTTTTCCCAATTGTCGCTGCTCAAAGGCCAGCCATGAGAGAAGGTGACGATTGGGCCTTGAGGATTGCCCCAGTCCTTGTAAAAGAGCTCTGCTCCGTCTCGAAGCTTCAGGTGCGGCATGGCTGGTCGAAATAGTATTCGGTACTTGTCTAGAGCTCGCAATAGGAAATCCGAGCCTTGAAAAAAAAGTGTCAAGCTAGGCTATCAGACAATATATAAGCTATATTCCGCTCAACAGTTCGTAAGTGGATCTCAGGCCTGCCCGTCGTTATGACACCTTATGATGTCATTTGTTTCTTGGAGAGTTATCAACCTTTGGTTTATCCTAGTGATATTCTATCGGATAGTTTGTTCACCCGCTTCAATGCTTATCTTGGTCCACCTAGCTGTTCAGGTATAGGAGCTGAAAAGACAATGTATGACGAGCAGATTTTTCTCAACCAATCGACTAGTATCACCAGGAATGAGGACTTTGCGCCTCTCGTCTCGCCGGAAATTCGTTTATGATTGAGAAGCCCGGCGGTAATCAGTCGACCATGGTGTTTGTTTGAAAGCTCTCCTGGCTGTCCAACTAGCCAGTATATCGGTCTCTCAAGGAAAAATCATTCGGTTGTTCCCAGATCACATGTTGAGGCCTCTACTCTGGCGGACGGTAAGTCCGTGGAACTCTCCTCCCATTTTCTGTTGAATCTCGCCGCGTACGCCCTCAACCGCAGCGCTTTGCGAGCCTGTGGGCGACAACTCTCACAGATGGCTCAGCGACATCTTTCGTGCGTGAGTATCTTGGGCCTCCTGCGACGACGACAGGGTTCTGGTGAAACCACGCGCTTTTGTGTGGTGAGTGCTTGCTCGGTAGTCGGTGATCGATCAGTGCCCATAACAGCTCATGAGACAATGCTGTAGACGGAGACGAAGCTCTTGTTCCTTCACAACTTTTGAAGCACTGTAAGAGCAACCAAATGTCTGATCTCGCTTCACATTCAATTGCCGGAAACGTACCGACCACATACAATGCCGGGTCGCGGGCGTGGTCACTTGTAAGCATGGCAGACGCTGTGTCTATATTATGTAGCCATCCAGACCATCCGCGGAGGAGATATAGTTCATGAAACTCCAAAGTTGATTTTGTGCTTTTTCATCGCGAGATGCAGACCAAAGGGGCCATACGCCCGCTTATCGGCGTCATACCAAACGAGCTCCAACAGCTTCCCAGCTTCGACTACTTGGGCGACTACCACTTTGGTCTCATTGTACAGCCGATTGAGGAAGAATTGGCGTTGGCATTCGGCGATGAGACAGGACCCGATCACCATAACGGGCCAGAGAAGAAGGGTTCCCAAGGGCGAGTCGGCGACCGGTAAGAGTAGGGGCATCACGACGTCGATATGGCCCTGAATTGTGGCAATGACCTTGGGATTGTCAACCACTGAGCCGCACATGCTAATCTTGACGAAGATCAGTAGGGCTTGCCTGTAGATCTCCCCAATCCAATCATGTTCCAGATACCACTCGGTCATTTCAGGAGAGACTGCTGGTGACCGCCATTGCTCCAGAACAATGATCAGATTGTCGTATACGAAACGCCGGTGACACCGGTTGCGACGAGCTGCCGCTGCAATCTGGCTATCCTCCAGTTCTTCACGAAGTCTGTCCAGAGCCAATTTTGAGGCTGGGGGAATGAGCTCAAAGAGTCCTTGTACACTGCCTAGAAGAACGCCAAATGTTTTGTATTCTTGTAGAAAGTCCAGAGAGTCCAGAAATGGGTCGTGCGGCATCATGCGCGCGGTATCGCAGCAGTCATAAGGCGTTATTCTGTTGGACAAGACCAGGAACGAGTATACCTCGAGAACAAATCCCTTTATGGATCTAGTTTCTTCGTTCGAAGGCCTGCCGCGCTCTGAACCAAGAACTGTAAGAATCATCTCTCTGCAGGCCCGGAGATGTAGAAAGATTCCCCCGCCGCCCGCATCGCCCGATATTGCCTATACCCGAGGTGAATACTCTGACTGCATCATAGCTGCCCTCCTCTTCGACTTACCTCAACATAGCAAAGAATTAGCGAGACGAGGGCGATACGCAACGCTCTTTCAGTATCTTCACAGACCGATTGCTCGGCAATAAGGGGACCAAGTGATCGAAGTGTCTGAGAGTAATGCCGTCTAGTAGCGAGGTGAATGTGGTGATCTCGGCCCTTCTTGAAGCTGAGTTGAGTTCCACTCAATGCCAACACGGCGTGCATGAGAATGTCGTCAGAGTATGCTAAGGGCACAATCAGCGTGAGGTATGGGTTGTAGTGCGCAGGCTTCGCGACAAGGAAGGTGGATGTTTCTTCCAGGTAATGCTGCAGTAAGAGAAGTGAGCAAGGTTCCATCCAGGCGACGCACGCCGAAGATGTGGGCGAAGGAGACATTGTGTATGGTGTCACGTATCCCGAGGATCGACTCTGGCGCTCTGTAGCATCATGATATCCTCGTTGTTGCTCCGGCGAAGAAGTGTATCGATTGACCGAAGGTGATGGTCCTTGTTCCGGGGGTGGAGAGCTCAGAGACCCCTCGCTGGTGGTTTTCTGATCCTCGGGAGGGCTGAGTGGGCGATACAGCTCAATGTGCTCAATATGTACACCCATCCTGAAGTGAGGCTGTCCTGGCGGTGCTTGGCGGGCTGGGGTCCCGGAGGGCCAGATACATTCCAGATAATTGCGAGAGCATCCAGTACAAACGGGTCCAACTTCGTCGCACTTCTTCCGGCGAGTGCGGCAAGTGAGACACCCTGTTTTTGTGCGAATCCGGGGCCTAAGTTTCATTGCTTGCCAGTTCTGTGGGCTTGGTCTGCGGGGACTAAGGGTTTTTGTTCCGTGTATTCGTACGCTTGAGATGTGGCGTGCGAGAGCTTTTCTCTCCAGGAAGAGAGTGTCCTTGACAGGCACTCCCATGCACGATGCTCTGTAGCTAAAGCGCGATGCACGGGATCGGTCTTCAGCAGAGATCTTCTGACATGGTGGGAGCTGATGAAGTGATAGGCTTCAAAATCCTCCTGCACGTGACTGGCCGGAGAAACGGGCGTCTGTCTTTACAAATCATGACGGATGTTGGAACATTTCTTACACGAAAGTGCACTACCCGTCCCAATCTCCACCAATGGTTCCTCTTCAACGTCCGAGAGAAGAAGCCAATGAGAACACGGAGCGCGGTGTCACACTGGCGCCAAACCCCGTTACTGAGCCTAAAACAACACCGCGACTTCTGCCTGTCTGGTGTGGCAAGGCTGGTATTGAGCAAGCTCTAGGTGACCACCCCTGGTCGAGTTTCGGAACATGCAAGCTAAAACCCTGCACAGCATCGGGCCAACCATGTTCCCGAAGGCGACAAATAAACCTGTGAAGGCATCGAGTATGCACAATCCATTGCACATGGATAACGACAGCAAGACTGAACGACAATGATCTCCAGAAGCAACAGGGCATCAGTGAAATGACTTTGTCCGTCGCTACTCATTATTGGACATCAGGTTCGCATGCTAATTAATTGCTGTCCATTTTACAAAAATGGCTCCACCTGCTTTTCGGTCCATTCGTAAAACTCCTCAGCGACCCCATTGCCTCCCTCCGACTTGGGCATCCTAGACAGTTCAATATCCTTTCGAGTGTGTCCAACTTTTCCAAATGGTTGAACTGTCGTGTTGCGTTAGCAACTGCCAGAAAATAGATGGTCAGACTTACTAAATCGACCCCCGTCTTTCATTTGGACATCTGGAGAAAAGCCAGCAAACAACTCGGTGTAGGCTCCATAAATGGGATCTTTGAGAACGAAGTTGATGAACGGCATTTGCCATTTTGGCGTAGTTTGATAGAGAGGCGTCTTCAAGTTGCCAGGATCCAGGGATACGCTGAGGATGTTCGACGGCCCAAACCGCCGGGCATACTCGGCAGCTTGAAAGATTGTTCCAGCTTTGCTGACCCCGTACTTGTACCAGGCCCCTTGGTCCTTCTCATATGACAAGTTGTGCATCACCACGCCCCCTGGGGGTGCGAAATTCGCTGCTGCCGACGACGCAACCCAGACGACTCGGACACTGCCGACTGGCTCGACTTTGGCGGTCTCCTGAAGGACAGGCGTCAATAACTTGGTGAAAAGCAATGGGGCAAGATCATTGGTGCCCAGCTGTTTCTCGTAGCCTTGCTTTGTTTTGCTTCCCTGTGGAGGGACCATGACCCCTGCATTGTTCCAGAGGACGTTCAATTTGGTTTCTTTGCTCAGAAATTCCTCTGCCGTAGCCTTGATTGTCGATAGGTCGTCGAGATCGAGGCGAAGAAAGATCAAATCTCCATGAGATGTCGGATGTTTGGATTTGATCTTTCGAATTGTCTGCTCTGCCTTGTCTGTTGAACGTGCAGCCACGTACACTTTGGAGTGCTTGGAGTAGAGTATGTCGGTGAGTAATTCGCCAACACCGCTCGTCGCCCCCGTCACGATGAAGACCTTCCCACTTTGATCAGTGAGATTTCTATCCGTGAAGGAAGCTGGTACGTAGGAAAATATGCCCATGGTGATAATTGCTTGAAGCTGGAGTAGCCCTGTGGACAACAACTCGAATATATTTCGAGAGTACGGTGACGCGGGTGGTGATAGCTTTCAGCTTCTTCTGTCAAGCGCCATCACATTCCCTGCCTGCTTCATACATTGTGGCGCCCGGCCTCCCATGATAGCTTCCATTGACAGCGATCAAGGCTGTCCGGCACACTAAAGCAAAATTTAACGTTCAAGTCTTGTGTGACGCTCTGCCGGAATGATAGACCTTCCGAGGGATCCGTTAGACGGCTACACGGAGAAAAGTTCGGCCGGGTGACATGTGCGCGGCTTTCCTAGATGCATTCATGAACGTTGTCGAGTTCTCTTTACAATTTCGATGATTAAAGTTTCGAAACAACTCCAGAGCCTCTCTTTTATGCCCGATTCAATTTGATAAACTCGGTCCCCCGCTGGGATTGGCAAAAATGCCCCGGAAATGCGAAGTATAAGGCCCAGCCGACGCAGCCTAGTCTGATTTCAGAAATCGCACGGACCTGTAGAACGACATAACGACACTTGTGAAGATGATGGCTGTTTCCTAAATGCTTGCCTGGAGAATGGCAGACCCTAAATATTCTTGCAATGTGAAGTCGTAACAAAGACGAAGAGAAAGTTTGAACTCTAGGCCAAATCACACAGCGAGACCTCCAGCCGACATATATCGACTTCCTCCAGAACGACACCCATAATGCCCTCCACCATCACCATGGATAGCACCGAGGTATACCACAAGAACTGGCGAAACAAGACTGCCGAGACCATCACCCTCGTTCATGAGCGACCACGGAGCTCGGACGACTGGGAAAATCAGATGATCTTCTTGGCGAGCAAAGGGTACCGTGTGATCGCAGATGGTCGCCGTGGCCACGGTCGTTTATCTTAGCCCTAGGAGAGGAATGGCAAGATACGTACGTGGATGATCTTTAGCGGCTATACGAGAAGCTCGACCTTAAGGACATCATGATAGTTTGCCACTCGAGCCCAAAGTCGCGAGGCTCCTGGGAAGACATGGTACTAGCCGGGTTTTAAAGCTGTTCTTGGGTCAGCAGTCACACTGGGTGTCCTAAAGACAAACGCCAATCTCGATGGAGTATAATTGAAGGTATTCGACTCTTTCCATGAGGTCATGATCAAGAATCGATCGATAATTCTTCATCTACGTTCCGTCTGGCCCCTTTCTTGATTTCAACTGGCCGAATGCCCAAGTGAGTGAAGGTAAGATTTGGGAGTTGGTGGCAGCAAGGGATGCAATGTGGATTCAAGGCGTCATATGACTGCGTTAAATCGCTCGCTGGATCCGATACTAGCGAAGATCTACACAATGCGGACATCCCAATTCTCGTAAATGAGTGTAGGCTTTCTACTGTTCACCAGTCCGATAACCCCAAGTGACATCAAGTCTTCCACAAAATCGACGACCAAGTACTTCCCATTGATGCGAGTGAACGAAGGGCTATGAAGCTTTGCAAGAAGGGCACCGTCAAAGAATTCCCGGGCGCTTCCCACGTACTGTCGACCATTTGCAATGACGAGGCCAATTAAGAGATGTTGAGGCTTTTAAAGTCCTAAATCTGTAGTTCAGGAGATATTCTTAGGAGAAATTGGGTATGTCAGAGTGTTTCTTGGGAGGAGGACACACCTCTTGTTCTATACAGAGAATGCAAAAGATTCGACCAATGAGGCAATTCAAGTCTACACCATCTCAATGACCGTCTTTCCGATCCCTCCTTTGCCCTTGTACACAAGTCCACACGCTTCCCGAATTTGCTCGATATCCTGCATTGGCACTCTGGATCCAACTACCGGAACAACTTTGCCCTGCTCAACGTGACTACTCAAAGTCTCCAGATCTTCACCATTGGGCTCAAGGAAAAAGTACTCATATTCGACACGCCACCGGCGGGCCCGAGCTCTTCGAATGAAATCAGCAATATTGAGACTGATACGAGCTAGCCAGGGCAGTTGTGGTTTATCTGGCCGTCGCATCAAGGGCGAGTTCTGGAGGACATCGCCTGACGGCATCGTTGCTATTGAGGCAATGAAGCTAGTCGACGGTGTCATGAGAGATAGAAAGCGCATCGACTCGCCCGTGGTGTCGAGGAGAAAATCGATGGAGCCGGGAGGAATAACCTTCATGGGGTCATTTTTTGTATAGTCAATCACTTTGAGATCAGGTCAGCACGATCTACTGGACCAGACAAACCCGTCACCGCTGGGAAACGTGCCTTGGTCGACGATGCCTTTGCCGAGTAGTTCTGGGACTTTGAGTATTTTGGCGGTGGACACAGTCGTTATGACTTTGCTAGCGTGAAAGACATTCTTAGCTAGCTGACACGCGTAGGCGCCGGTGCCGCTTACTAGACAGCGTATTTCTGTCAATATTCTGTTCTGCAAAAGTTCTGAAATACAGTAATGACGGAGGCTGGTTTTCACTCACATCCCGCCGGGATGAACACAGTCTTCCCTTCTAACGAGCCCTTGTACCTCCGGAGTGCTTGTAGGGCTGTCACAGCAGCCAACGGCAATGACGCCGCGTCCCCGAAGGAAAGTGACTTGGGCTTGCGAGCGACATAGAACTCGGCGCATTTGGCGTACTCGCTCCAGGCACCTGAGGGAAGCAACAACATCAGACGTCGATATCTCCTTAGATACGGGGGAAATCTGATAGGGAGTCTTTTATTACCTCGACTAACTTCTGGCAATCTCGCATACACTTCATCTCCGACATGAATCTGCGTCACTGCACTGCCAGTGGCTGTGACGACGCCAGAACAATCATATCCAATCTTGTATGGAAATCTGTTTGTTCATATTATCATCCGATTTCTTTGCCCAAAGGATGTCTCTTCGAGACCTACTCATCTTTCACCGCCAGTTTGAGCGCCCCAGCAGCCTTTTTCACATCAATGGGATTGACGCTGGCAGCGTAAACTCGAATCACCACATCCTTTGGCTCCGTTATGCTAGGTATCGGAAGTTGTGACAGTTGGTAACCCCAAGGATCAGTAAAGGTCGGAGCGATCACGCATGTCATTGAGGACGCCATTTGATTTGTGAAACACTGAGCGATAGTGTCGTACAAGTAGAAAAGGACCGAGGGCTCAGCAGCAGATATTTCGCCTTAAATACATGAGCCTATTGTATTAGCCAGAGTTCGGAGCAACAATCTTTCCGTTCAGCTAGATGTCAAGAGGCAAACTTTAATTTTCGTTAGGGGCCTCAACGAATCATCTCCGTACTGGATTTGATCAGTTCCTAACGGTAGGCGGCAAAACTGAAGGAAAGCTCGGATTTGCCGTCGTCAGAGGCGTTCTGGAGCCGGATCGGCAAAAACATGGGCAAGAATGAACGCCCATAGGCAGGCCTATCATTGGCCCACAACCCCGCGCACAAGGAAAGATGATCTTCAGCAACAATCCAAAAGGCCATATATTTCCTTTGAATTTGCTCTAATCTCTATTTCTTTGACCACAATTACTTAAGGACAATCTGCTCCTTGCTTGTTCTACATACTCGCCTTCTTTACTCTGCACACAGGCAACGATTTAGTTCTCCTCTGTCAGCATGACTGATTCGAGACGTCGACCTTCTATGTCTTTTGTAGCTATCCCAAGCACGCGGTCTCCTTTATAGCAACATCGGTGCTGTCAGAAGATTATCGTGGGTCACTCCTCAATTCGATTTCGGCGCTTTCTGCCATCTTCTTTCTCGGCTGTTCAAAGTTGGCTGTTCAGAGTTCGAGGTTTCGCCATGGAATCCTTCCGTGGTTCCCAACACAAAGTTATTGGGAGTTGATGTTGGCCCGAACGTCACTGGATCTCTTCCGGCGTCATCGTAAACGCTATTCAGCCACGGGCCTAATCGTCGCGACAAGAACATTGCCGCCTTCAACGGTCGCCAACTTCATTACCGTTGGACCTTGTAGATGCAGAGATCGTACGCTTTTCTGGGGACTGGACGGTCCATGAGCGAATTGACAGTGAGGGCCAGTGCTTAAGTGCTCGCCTGTGTCGCAACTTGCCTCATGATCGGTACCAGAGTTGGTAACACAACTTGAGCGAGAACGCTTTGCAACAGAGATATCATCGAATCCTGGTTAGAATCGTGGAAGAACAAACACACACCAAGCACTGATAGATTTTCCAACTTGAACCTATGGAATTTACCTATCCAAGTATATGCCTGAGTTCGGCAGGTCCCGACTCTTGGCTACCACTGTCCTTCTTGAGAATTAAACACTCTTCCAACATTTCGAAACCCCAAATATCAGCCTGGAATTGATTCCTCATGTCGACCTCAATAAAGATGGTATCTCTGAAACATTGGTGCTTTTTCCTTCATGAATCACCATTGTTACTTGCTTCCACTCATCAGAGAGAATCACACATTTGAGTCGCAGCCGCCCTACGCGCCAGGTCACGCGGATGTTCCACTCTAGAGGACGTTCAAAGTGGTGCAGGGGGTGTTGACAAGACCGCCCTGTGTCGTAAAAAAGTAAGCAAAAATGTTCAAGAGGGTAATTTTGGTGGTGCGACTGTGATGACATACGTTGTTATCGCCGGTGCAGCATGCAGCGACATTGTTACCGCAGGCGTCGGTGACAGGAACACCTCCACCGAGGACTTTTTGACGTTGGTCAGTATTTCATTTTTCCTTTTTTTTGCAACACAGGAAAGATAATCTTACCACCCACACCCAATGGGGTGCAAGAGCCGCCCAGGACGCCATCGAGAACACCTCCTAGGCCCAGGAGACCACCGTTGTTGGAGTCGCTGGTCATTTTGTTGGTGTTACAGCAGGAAATGACCTGGTCGTTGCCGCAGGTCACGTCGGCTTTTCCGCTCCTGACATAGAGGTCACGTTTGCCAGCCTCACTTGGGACAGCCTGGGTTACGGCGGTGAGGGCAGCGAGGCTGAAAGCGATGATTGAGGAACGCATCTTGGATTGCTTTGAGTCTTGTTTGTTGTTTGTTGTGTGTGTAAAAAGTGAAGGGACTGGTGAGTCTTGAAAGATTCTGTTGTTTCGAAACGAGAATGATTGATGAGATGCAGAAAAGAAAACTCATCCTCCCTCTGACTTGACCGCTTTATATACCCTTTCGCCATGGCTCTCATTGCCTTGTTAGGCTCCAAGATTTGTGTTGGTCTCAATTCCAGAGATCAACACTTGCCACTTCAGGGGATGATGGCACGGACAAGAAGATTGTTTTCAAGGGTATGACAGTCGATAGCTTTGTTCGAATGGGAAATCGTCTTTGAGCATCAACAATAGTTCCAAAGCATAACCCGATCAGCATTCCCACCTCCTTTATTCTCGAGGAGGTAAGCCATCTCAGTGTCAGTCCAGATATACACGCGAAGCTCTTCTTGCATAAGCGCGCCATCAAAGCGGTGGCCGTGGATGTGAAGGGCCTGCCAGCCATCCGTGCGAGGAATGAAACTTGATTTGTATCAAAGCAAAAAGGAGCTTGATCCTCTCCCTGCCAGACTCCGCAGCGTTTATTGCGACTCCGGATCGACCGTCACAGCGTTGGAATTGTGGAAACCCTGCACTGCTTTTCTCCTCAGGACAGAAGATCCAGATTCTCTTTGGAACTTACCTGGATTGATGTACAGCTAGTTCTTCTCGATCTTACCGGAAGTTCGGCTGACAAAAGAGCGAGATAGAAAGGTCGGCGACCCGACAGACACTGATACTGTGGGTCCCAGGGAGGCCGTCACGAATACCAACCGGGTAACCAAATGAAAAAAGGGTCAAGGCGCACACATCATGGGGTTTTACTACAGATGCATTTCTTGAAGTCTGCCGTAAACCCGACGGATTTCTCATGGAGGTGCCAAGTCCAATGATCGTCTTCGTACGTGAATAGTACCCCTAACTGACAAAATTGGACTAGTTTTAGTGTAAGCGTGACCGCTTTTGTTCGAGGAACATGGTGGATAGCTTCACTGTCGCCTTTTGATAGGACGGCCATGTCAGCCTATTCTTCTGCCGTCGATCTTTGTAGATCTTCCGTCTGTGGGGTGAGCGTTGGCACCACCTACTGTTTGTTGATGGTCCGATTGCTATTGTATGAATACGCGCCCAACGGTGTTCCAAGGCTAGTAGGCAATGCCATCCTGCCATAAAATGTTTGCTATACATCCCCATCGGAATCTTCCGTGCATTTGGAAAAGTTCTACGGAGTAGATATTGTGCAACAAAGCAATGGTGGAACTACTAGAGCCTTGTGGAAAAAAGCTCAACTTAGTCGTTGAATTAAAGACTATGACGGGAGATCATTGTCATTGCAATGGCCACGGCAGGTGTCAATAACCAACCCTTGTCGGGCTGATACTTGTTTGGGTTGGCATGGCTGGTATTAAGCTCAACCGCACCTGTGGTGGTGGGTGGGCCGCGGCAGCAAATAGCAACCATGTAATCGGTACCGTCGAGACCCACCGAGCATTCCTGGTATAGCTGTTACGTTTTTACCTCTGTCGATCATTTTTTGACACTTTCCGGTTTTGCTTTAGCTAGTCTAGGTTACTTAAAATACGTCTGTTTTCCAAACTTGACTTAATCTCCAATACTCTCCTGTTGGACTAGCGATTCTTTATGTCAAGCGGCCTCAGGCCTCCCGCCCCTGATTCACGGTAGCGACCTGACTGCGGACACAAGTGAGCCTTGCACAATGAAGCTAGTTGATTGGCTGGTCGCTGGCTGCGTGTGCAGGCTAGTAATACCGAGCCTCCACGGTCTAGTGACAGAGATCTCCTGGTAGCTCAGCCTCTGGGGCCCCGATTAGCGAGACATAGGTGCAAGAACGACATCCGATGTCCGGATTTCTCATTGTGGGGTCGCGAGTAAGTAGATCGAGATTTGCTAGGAGGGTTTAAAGACGTTGTTCAGCTCAGCTCTGCATCTCCGTGGACCTTAAGGTTTGGTCTTGACCGGTATAGGGGCGGCCGATGGAGAGGAATTGCAGTTCTCGACCCCAGACGACACTCAAAAGCCTGCCGGCCTGAACCAAAGTGGACTGAACCTTTCCTTTTTGTCTACTTGTTGATATTTTGGTTTCTATCCCTCAATAGCTCCATGGAGGAGGGCTTGTCACAGCAAGACGGGAGATTATGGCTTGTGGTCACGGAAAGTAGGCTGAGGGTATCTCTGTATATTGGTTAATCTCTCAACGTTCCCTGTTGACAGACCATACAGCATAGAGCTCCTTGTCATCATCTTGACAGATGAGTACACTTTCCGACCACCATATGTTGTGATTTATTCCATTCAATTACACAGATTTCAAGGGCTTCAGGAAATATCACCAGGTCTGAGCTTGTCAACAAGCAATTTGAGACTGCAAATTTGAATCACCCTCTTCGACTTTGTTCAGGGGGCAGGCATGGGTTAAGAATAGTATAAAACCCCAGACGAATGTCAGGTTAATGTATTGAAACAAAAGCGATCTTGACACTTTTTCTTTCCTGCATCCGACCCAAGTCATTCTTTTTGTGCCATTTTCTTGAACATGAAGTTCACAAGTAGCCTGCTCACCAACTCCACGGCGATCCTGTTTGCTGTTGCTGCAGCTCAGGGGGCTCAGGTGGACCCTATAACGACAATCACTCCTTGCCCAGAGGCAAAAGACTCGATCTTCCCTCCAATTACTGTTACTTCGCAGTATCAGGATGTCTACACTTGCCAGCCTAGGTCTCTGTGCATCAAGCAAAGGTGCTCGACTATCTTCGACTTGAAAGCCTATCCCTACGTCTCCACGGTCATTCCTTGCGCCTGGGACGGGACCACAGCAAGTACGACTACCATCACGCGATTGGATCAGCCGGTCCGAGTCTCCGAGCATGTCGAAACTCTCACAAAGACGATCACAGCAACGGTCTTTCCGTCAGAGACTGGAGGTCAGTGGGAAGTTTGGGAAGACTGGCACACAGCCCACATGTGGTCTAAAGAAGCACCGAAGCCGACCGTCACCACGACTTCTCTTTACGAAACCGTCACGCGCAGAGCTGTTGCTCCTTACGAAGATATCGGCCCCTTGGCCGTCCCAGGCTGGAACGGAAGTGAACTTTGTGAGGAGTGTGTCAATTCAAAGGATGGCTCTCGTTCTCAGCTTCTCGACGTTATTGAATGCCGTTTCGGTGTCGACCGGGCTGGAGAGCCATTCCACACCTGCTCTGAGTGGGCCGAGACTTGGGTGGAACGGTACTTGCCAACATCGACTGCGCTCGCGGAAGCGGTCTGTGTGAGCCAAGGGTCTGTACCTGCGGCCGGCACATACACCTGGACTTTTCCTCAAAGTGGCCAACCAGTAGCTGTCACTGCTCCCCCAACAACAATGACCACGACTCTGAGTGTTTCTCAACAAGAGACGGTGATCGTCGAGCCAGAGATTGTTTATACACTTCCTGGCAAACCGTGGAACGCCTACGTTACGAGAACGTTTCCAGCCCCGACCAACTTCGCCTTCAATGTCTTTGTTACGACCACCGTCACTGTCAGTGTGCCGTATATCACTCGACCGGCGGAAAAGTAAGTCTAACCCATTGAGAGTTGAACGTCTTGTTTTTTTTCCATGCTAATCGAGATTTACAGCACTCGTCCGATCGCAGTCCCCACCCGACCGGCACCAGGAAACGGCCGACCTGCTGGCTTCCCGTTTCCAAATTTCATTCCTGGCAAAGGACCTTTTCCACCACATGTTCCGAGCTCTCCAAATACGTCTGTCATACCTTCGTCATCGTCCACCAATACGAGAACATATCCCACATCTAGCGCAGTGACTAGTTCCACTCCCTCTTTGTGGACAACTTCTTCGTCAGCCACAGCTAGTTCGACGCCGCCGGCCAGTTTCTCATCTACGAGTGTATCGTCATCCACGACTGGATCGTCATCCACGACTGGATCGTCATCCACGACTGTATCGTCATCCGTGACTGCATCATCATCCACGACTGTATCGTCATCCGTGACTGCATC